ATCGATAATTATTAAGTCATAAAATGAATTCTTCTGAAAGTTTCTAAAGAATATAGACTGATCAAAGTATTTTTACCTTCTTCTCAGCTTACAAATACTTTCTTAAGGATTTAACAATAGCTCCTGGTAGATTTATTCAGCGGTTAGTCATATTTCAACATATTACTCCGAAATCTGGGAAGTTACTTCTGTTATTAAGACTTTCACCCAAGAATAATTAAACTATCACTGAGAAACGATAAAAAAAATAACTTTATTTACCTCATCAACTTCCATCTCATTCAAATACTTCTTTAGTGGTGAGAGATACCAGATTGTCTATGATCATCACTAAATGTTCCATATTATCCTGTCACATATATCAAAATAAATCCATGTTTCAACATTTTATTGAAGTACAAAGTAGGCATTACATGGGGAGCACCAAGTTAAGAAAAATGGCAGCAACGCGAAGAGAACGTTTCGCGCAAGAAGTGTTTTTTGGTACAGTTAAACAAAACGAGTACAATAATGTTTATTTTTCACAAATCGTATTTTCTTCGTGGAAGCGTTCCACCACTACACTTCATATATAGTTAATTGCTTGTTGATATTATATGTAGTGACGCAATCTTTTTTCATTTCATTGTGATTACTGACTCATCGATTGCCTTGATTCGTTAAACATTTTCAATATAAATATTAATGTATATTAGATCTAATCAAAAACAATAATATTGTTCGTTTATATGTGTTTTCCTATATTATATGTAACAAAGCAAACATGTCAACTTACTTAATAGATAGACAATGAATCAGGATCCATGCCCTTATTTTGAAAGCGAATAAAATTTTTGCAATACGGGGTTGTGAAGATTGTTAAGTTGAACATTTTTTGAAGCCATGAATCGACCAATGTTAGACCACCATTAGAAACCTGGAAGCACAGTAACTACCGAAGACTGTGTATGAGGCTGCGCAACTCCGTGAATTGATCAAGTTAGACATTGACAGCGTTAGATACCGGCCCAGTGGTCCGATGGTTAGGCGTTCGCGCACAATACTGAAGGTCCTGGGTTCGAATCATGCGAGGTGCAGGAGTCGTGGATGTGCACTGCCACTGATGAGTCCCATACCGGGACGAAAAGGCCGTCCAGTGATACTTCCAGGTTTCTAATGGTGGTCTAACATTGATCGATTCATGGTTTCAAAAATAAAATTTTTGTCAATCATGTTAGCTTCTCCTTTGAAGGATTATTTCGATATACGCATGATAGCACTAACCATCAACTGATTGGTTGTTATCGTTTTTGTTAATTCTGTTTATTTTGTTATGTCATAAATTCCTTGAACGTTGCTTTTAAAATTTCAGTTCTACACGTAATATAAACTAATCGTGGAAGTCTCATCTCAATCAGCACATGAATTATTGACGTTGAAATGTTGTTGTATGACAAATGTCTGGTTTATTTGATTTCTGATATGTTGTGTTGTACTAGAAGAATCCTCAATCGTTCACTAATAGTATTTATTCCAGGCTAACTGGAAACTCCATCTTAATCGTTCTTGTGAAGATATAACAGAAAGGGATAGGATAATATAACGATTACATGAATTAATGTTTTTTTTGATAATTATAGTTGAATTCACACTAATTGTTTGAACAATGAATGAAAACAGGAGAAAATTCAATCATCTCTGGCTGTCTTTTCTTAAATGATTATGCTCATTTGCATTTGCTGAAAATAAAATGCCTTGTTCTTGTGTGTTTTTGTGTGTATGTTTGAAACAATACCATAATGGTTTATCTAAAACTTCAATATAACCATAATCGACTGTATTGTGTCTGTGGTATACTTGACTAACCTGTTAAATGCTACTGAAAATCTTGAATCGGATGACTCAAGTAATAACATGAAGACTCTAGATTGAGTATTATTTACTTGACACAATACAAATCAAAATGATATTTGAATAGACTGACTTTTGTATGATTCATCTACACTGATTAATAGTCAACTAATAAAAAATTTACTGAATGAGCATTAGCCATCTGTGACTAACATATCTACTAATATCAATAAAATACTGATTAAATATCATGATAAACAAGCAAAAAAATCAATATTGTATGTCAGCTGCACTCAAATCAATGAAAACCTTCCTCACCATATTAGATTATCAATAGTGAGCATAATATTATTAAATGTAACTAGATATTTAACTGAAGCGAAGAATTTTACTGATGTACAGCAAAGGTTTCCGTTCATTGAAATTTCCTCAACGTAATTATTGTTTAGTAATAGACATTAGGGACGTGAGTAAACTATGCACTATTACTACTACTATGAGAATTACTGAGGTCATTTTATCCTTTTATATGTAAGCTGGTGTCTGGAGCATGTCGATAGGAAGCTCTGAACCTAGGCTTCTTTTAATTTAGCACTCATCTGTAAGGTGTACCTGCATTATTCAGGAAACTGGTGCTTCCTGGAGGATTCGACTTTGCGTCACCAAGTTTTACAGTTAGAGACACAACCACTGAGCTATTTGGACCACGACCGACCTCCACCAGGGAACATGATTTCCATCAAGACTACAGGTACACCTTGCTGACGATTATCAAATAGCACGAAGCTTAGATTCAAGGTCTTATGCTAACTAACTCCAACCACCAAATCAGCTGAAATTAGGTCCATAACTATTCAATCAATTTGTCTATAGTAAGTTTTGTTGCAGACAAAATGGACGTTCAAGGTACACTTTAAGAGTAGTCCTTCCGGACTATCCTTATGGAAGCTGAAGTCAGTTTGCTTTTCCGATATGAACTCAATCGTCTCAATTAGTGGCACGTTGATAAATAGAGACATTAACACCGTTAGATATTGGCTCAGTGGTCCAACGGTTAGGTGTTCGCGCACAATACCGAAATCTCCTAGGTTCGAGTCCTGCGGGGTTCAGGAGTCGTAGATGTGCACTTTTGATGAGTCCCATACCAGGACGAGACGGCCGTCCAGTGCTTCCAAGTTTCTAATGGTGGTCCAACATTGATCGATTCATGGTTTCAAAAAAATGTGTAAATAGAGATACAATATCTAGTAAACTCATGTTTTTCATATTAACGTTCATATTTTCCACTTTGGAAATTCAGTCGTAACTGTCTTTGAAGTCTTACAACTGATTTGTGGAGAGGCTTTAAGATTCTAACTAACCCGTTTACAACTTCGGCATAAGGAGAATTGTACAAATCTAAAGTGGCTGGATTTAACTTAATAGACGATTTTTGTTTATTATTATTATTATTATTATTATTATTATTGTTATTATTATTATTATTATTATTATTTACATATCCCGTATTTGTTTGACATTTTTCTCCGCTTTCCGTTCATATTCTTTCCTGTCTAATTATTTACTTACTGATTACGTAATTCGAATAGTGTTTTGTGATCATTACTGTAAGTCCGTTTATCCAAGTGTGACTTACTACCTCCGATGCTGAACTATTACCAAGAACTTTTGTTAGTTTAATTAATCGTCACTACTGCTAGCACACCTATATCATCAGCAGTGCGCTTCCACAAACCCCGCTCTCGGGAATCGAACAAAGGGCCTTCAGTTTTGTGTGTGGCCGCTTAACCTCTAGTGTTTATTGAACTCTATCGATCAAGTTGCGAGATGATTAGTAGATTAAGTGAATAGATGGCATAATATACTTTGACTGATATTAGATAGGTAATAAGGAAGACATAAATTTGGGTTTTATGCTAATTTGCATTGACTAAGATGGTTCCTGAAATGCCAGTGAATAAATAATTTAACAGAAAACGCTTCCAATATTTTAATCAGAAGAGTATAAAGTTAAAATATGTAAAAAATAAATCTTTTAAAACAAAAATTACATTTTCCCTTTCCTCTTTGTATTGAATTAATACTTGTAAATAAATTGAAACTTTATTTCACCACATAACAAAGTTACTGACCAGTAATGAAGGTTCTATTAGAATAATAGTTAAACTTAAACAAATTGTACTGAGAATCACTGATCTGATGGTTGATCATTGCAATATTCAAAATTCAATTTTTTATTCAGAATGAATTGACTTTTTTGAGTAAATTTAAGATCTAACTATCATGCAGTTTATGACGGAAAAGAGAAATACTTTTCTTAAAGCGGTAAAGCTCTATCTTAATCAATCTCATATATTAATGAACTTGATTTCAAATTGTCTTGGAGATACAACCATCGATAAAATTTATGAAAGCTCATAGTATATTAAAATCCATTGACTCCAGCTTATTATTGATTGTCAACTACCATATTTATGTCAGTATTGTAACTAAAGTTTACGATTATTGTAACATAGTATGCTTAAACGCCATTACTAAATTTATATTGTGTTGAATGGTTAGATATGACTAAGTGAAAATATCTATTCAAGGTTTTGTAATTTTCGTTCTTATTAGCAAATATATTCACGTGTTTCTTTATTGTAACACTTTCAAGCTAATAACCTTCAACACAATTTTTAATTTAACCCCTACTTTCAAATTATCTTGTTTTAATGCACTAAACCGTGTACTTTTAAAATGTATGTGTACATAAACTACATTTCTCAAGATTTGTCAATATGAATCACTTTTTTCTTAAAAAGCAATAAAACGTCTGTATGAAGACGGGTACAACGTCGTGGTATTGATTTTCACGTGCTTCATGGTACACGTACACATTTGCATGACTGCATTACAACACTACAGGCAAATGAAATTTACCATTTTAGACATATCAAGTTTAACATTGAAAAATTCAACCAGATTTTGAGCACATTCAAATAATAAACAGACATATGTGAACAGACATGAAACAACTATATCAATAGTCTATTTTAGACTACTAGTACCTACTTATCAGATAAAAAATAATCGTATTGACAATTGATCATAACAAACAAACCAATCATAATAACATGTTACACTATACTCTTGTGAAAAGATAAGTAAAGAGTATGTATAAAAACGTTTTGTGTTCGATTGATTTTGTAAAGTTCTTATTAACTGTAAGTTATTTAACACGACGTTCATTGTTCATTGTGATATGATGATATATATTGTGAGTTCATGGAATAATCCAGTCAGACTAAGTGGAATTTTACTCTATTCTGTTCCAACATATATTACTTAATAGACGATTTTTTCATTTGTTTTAAACAACAAAATTACATGGATTGACTAAGTAGAACACGTCACCGTTTGGATCATCAGGGTCTATTTATTATCCGATTCAAGGTCACTAATATTAAAACTTGTTAACGAAATGAAATGTTATATATCCCGATCAGTGACCATCATGTACGTACAAGGAATCGGTTTACCTGAACAAGATCCTTGATGTTCTAGTCAAAAGTTTTTTCTGATAGAGTTTATTCTTTATTCATAGTTTGAAAGTTTATTTTTAAAAATATGTTTGTTTCCAAACTTCTCAGGATGGATATATTTATGTTGCATTTGAGTATCATAGAAACGCATTCAATTCGTATTTAATCGTATCTGTACAGTATATGGCCATAATTCAATAACTGTTTTTATCAAGAACTTATGTTTTCGAGTGGTTTAAACTCTCCTTATTCATATTCTTTTTATCTACTTCTCTCGGAAGTATTCTGTATTTTCAACCAGAGTTTAGTGTTTTTACACATTTGAAATCATCAATCAATCATTGTTAGACAACCATTAGAAAGCTGGAAGCACTGGACAGCCGTTTCGTCCTAGTATGGGACTTATCTGCAGTGCGCATCCACGACTCCTCCATCTCGCAGGATTCGAACCCGGGACCTTCGGTATTGTGCGCGAACGTCTAATCTCTGAACCACTGGGACGAAATGGTCGTCCAGTGCTTCCAGGTTTCTAGTGGTAGTCTAACAATGATTGATTGATTGATGATTTCAGAATGCGTAAAAAATATATTCTATCTCAATATTTTCCTGAATATAAGAACTGAATGCCTCAATGCAACTCATTGAATTACCTTGCGAATTTCTGGTCACTCGGAACTGACTTTTACAGAGGATGAAGTCGTCATTCGTGTATTAACAGCGGAATAAGAAATCCGATAAACTATAAAACAGAACCATAGTTTAGAAATGAGTTTTAATAACAAAAAAGTTGAAAGACTCATAGAAAGTTTATCATCTAAAGTGATTTATGTAAAGATTTGTATAAATATAAAGATTTCTTTTCGGTAACAATCGACTTTGTGATGAAATCTTTATTCGAATTTTCTCAAAAATCTCTTTATAAAAAAACACTTGATTAACTTTGACACAGAACTCCTGTAGTTTTAGCAAAAAGCTATGACCAATAAAATTAACTATGCCGAGAATATAACACTAACTTTACATTAATCAACTAAAGTTTAAATTATGAATCATTCAATCTCATCTCATCGATTTGTGAGTGTACAGTCTACTTACTATGAGACCTAAAATCTCTCAGTTAAATCATGAATAGAATTCTAGGTATACACTGAAGTAGAGTTATTAACAAGTATGAAATTGTTTTCGAATGGTCCCTAGTTTGTAACAGTACTGAAATATAATTATAAAAAGATTGATTATACTGTATTAATCTTTATGCTTGTAACAAGGTCAAATCTATTTTAAAATAATCATGAAATACTTTTCAATAATAACGGTAATTATTTTTAATCAAACATTGGACTATTGATTTTTTTATTTTGAAAATAATCCTAGATCATTAAAATAAATTGAATCCTACGCCAAATGCTTACGTTAAAACAAAACGAGTAAGCAAGAGGAATTTGTAAGAAAAAGAAAAATGAGTTCAATAAAAATTTTCGGGGGGAAAAGATAATCACTTCGAAATAGTGCGAACCAAATATACTCATTGTTATGCAAGTCACTTTAGTTATGTTGTTCTTCTAGTGAGCTAGTTACTTTAAGATTATTATTTGTGGTTAACTCTGATGAAAGAGGGACAAACATCATCAACTTTTGTTCTGATTCTTCTAAGATAAGAAAATACAGTCACACCTTCCACACTACACGTGATCGACGATTGATTAGGTAATCTCTGTTCTGTACACTTTCATGAAAACAGGTTGTAATGATATATATATATATATATATATATATATATATATATATATAGAGAGAGAGAGAGAGAGAGAGAGAGAGAGACCCAACAGCCTATTGGTTACTTTGTGATCCCCGTTACTCACTCATTTCTTTTATCCAATAATAAATACCATCGCACCATGACGATCAACAATTTTATGTACAAATTCCAGGTTTTAACTGACTTATACATGCTAACAAAACTAATCGTTTGCAGAGCAGTACAATTTCTCTTAAAATCTATCTAATTAAACAATTTAGAATCTGGTCCAATTTATAAAAATTATCAGCTGCAACATGTCAGTCATTTTAGTAGAAATGTTATCTTTCATGCAATTAACCTCAATGTTCGAAATGTTTTTTTTATTTTAATTAAGATTGGTGAATTGAATATATAATGAAAGTGTTTAAATTAAGAAAATTAGAACCATGATTGACCTGTACATGTGTGATTATGATTTTACTGAATCGTGCTTTATTTTTAAAAAAATAATAAACCCATTTTGTTCTAGTTTTAAGATTGAATAATTTCGAGTACAGAATTACCTTGTTATTGATCAGATCAATAAACTTCATTGAATATGAGTGATGTTAGTTAACGAGTTAATCCTTTTTTTAACCTTTCAAATATTAAATCAACTGATAGATAACTTTTTTTTCAAATATACTTTCTTTGAATGAATTCTCTGATTTACTTATCCATTTTGATTGATATCACGTAATTGTTGATATTAGATCATTGCTAATTCAAACAAATCTCAAGCACCGATTAAAGATTGGTTGAAGAAGTTAAGGTACTAGGAAAAGATAGCAAATCAGTTGATGAAGTAGTGAATATTCATCAGTTGAGGTGGTTGAGACATGTGTTACGTATAGCCAACCACCGACTGCCCGGATGAGCGATTTGGTCTGATGTGGTAGCAGGCTGGAATAAAGCTAGGGCGGTCAGACCAAAAATTGGCAGAAATCCATGAAGTCACTGACAACTGGACTCAGCCAAGTTCGTTAGTTCAGACTACGTGGTTGAGGCCCGCGAGATAATGGTAATCGGTGGTTAGAGACTTTGAATAACAAGGCTCAAAATCGTTTACAATGACGCAGGTGCATTCATTCCTTGTGTTCTATCAGATCCTAAACTTCTGAATTCCTCATCACCTATAACTTTCTGTTTTTAAGTTTACTTCAATAGATTATACTTCTTGAATAATACCTTCGAACCCTAATATCTCCGATTACTGCTAATACTTCTACTAACTCTATTACTATGGGATTTGAATCAACAATTTCCTTTCTGTGTGCTGATATGGTATGGAAACTTAAACTGATGTACGTACGTGCGAAGTTTTACGTTGTAGCTGACTGACTATTCTATGTATTTATGGAAATCGATATCGTAAGTGAAATACCTAAAGTTAAATGTTGTCTTGAACTTGAAGCATAATTTATTTCCTTATGATTTAAACTAATACATATGTATATTTGAACATTTATATATCAAAACAAATTTCACATAATTATTCAACAGCCATCTTACTTTAAAAGATAAAACCAATAAAATTTATCTTTTTAAAAGTAGGAATTATAATCGAAAATGACTTATCAGACTATACAATACAAGAAACCACAAGTCAGTCTTCGGTATAGAACTTATTCCAATAGTCAATGTGAACATGATGAAAGTAAGCGAAATCAAATTTGTTTGGAAAATGAATCATAAACCATGTAATAAGATTATTAAATGTAGATTTTTAGTTATTTGAAGAGGCTTTATATCACAAGATGATATCAAGTTAAAATATATCTTTTTTCTAATTGAGGATATTTTGACAATTGTTTCGTTATAATTTGAAAGCTATCTGTCAAAGATTCCATAAGAGATCTAGTTTAAATTCTGTGTCCTACAATAAGTGAACGAGACAACTGTTTACTGAATCCGAATAATCAATAATTGTTTCGATTAAAATCAGTCAGTTGTTCATTGAGCAACCTATAAATTGAACTATCTTCACAACATTTATATGTCAACAACGATTCATTTTGTGTTTGTAAACTATTTCAAACTGGTTTGATTTTTAAACTCTAATTAGGATAAACTTTCATAATAAGTCTTCCTTTGACTACCGTTTAATTAAAAAAAATACAAGACACGAATGGAAAACGTCCAATAATCAAATTGAACTCAGTACTTTAATTTGATTTCAAAGTAATCTTAATCGATGGAAGTAATCAGTGAATACAGTAATAAACACTTGGGTTTTATACATGTAATTACTTATCAGCATAGATCATTCTGTATTTCAATTACAGTCTCTAAATTTTGTTAAATTTCTATTATGTAACGATGAAAGTATAGATATTCAAGCCTTGATATAGAATTATTTTTGATTTTGAAGTTCACAATAGACATTTAACATAATTATTCATCAAAATAAAATTCTTAATTTAAACTGCATATTTGTGTAAATCATTATTTTAGATAATATACTCTTAGAAAAAGTCAACATACTACAACTTGATGAACAATGTGAGGTTAGTAAGTTGATTGATTTTTTATCAGTATAGTGTTGTGTAGATTATTGAAATTTGTTGAGATTACAAATTAACTAATCTTAGTTAGACCTGAGAGCATTAGACATCCGTTTTATCCTAGTTTAGAGCAAGTCGACAGTGCCCAGCGACCTTTAGTCTTATACATGAACTCTTCACCTCTAGACAAAGGTAACTAGAACCAGTCCACGATATTCATTTTCGTTTGCCGTATGTGGTGTTTATGAGAATTTTCAAACTTATTGACTAAATACTTGAAAAGATTAACATTAAAAAGACTGTACATTGGATTATGTGCTAACAAAATTTGCTTATACCTACAAAAACATACAGAGTATTTAAAATAGTAGTAATGCAAGAGCTCATTAATAAGATCAATATTGTGCACTCATTCGACTTAAAACTTGAAATAAGTGTTCTCTGACTCAAGTCACTAAAAGAGCACTTAAAAAAAGCTATGAATTGATTCAGAGAAAAGTATCTTTGACTGAATTAATTAAGAAAGATTATTAGAGTGGGGAAATTTAAAACTGTAGGCAATAAATGTGAAAATACTGTATAATAAAAATAGATTTTTCGGCACCTAAACCACCTTCAACAGGATTTTAATATTTGAATGATTTAAACAAATGATATGGTTTACTTTCAGTAGGATTTCCTTATAAACTAATAAACCAAACAGACTTAGGTATCAAGTACAGGAAGTTTAAAGTATAAGAGCTAATTAGCTTCGTGAGTTTCGTATTAAAATTTACAAAAAATACACAGAAACCAAATGGCGTATCATAGAATGAAACTTGTAGCTTACAAAAATAAGTCTCATGATATGTCAGCCAGCATACAGTGTGAAATTTGTACACGATTTCTGAAAGCTGTTTATGTTGTGACTTCTTGTAAATAAAATTCAAGGTCGCTTTAAAGCAGGGCACTTAGGTTGTTCATTAAAGTATCTTGTTTATGATAAATAGTACGATAACATCTGATACAACGTATCAAAGTACACAACCAAGATCATTGATATAAATTGTGTTTTCAACATGCTGACAAATTCAGACGCGATCTTTCCATTTAATCATTATCAACTATCTATTTATATTGTTGAAAAGTATATTCTTGTGATCATTTTATAAAAATAATACTAACCTTAAAATAAGTCAGTCATTAAAGCAGAATAAGTAGTCATATTTGTATGATATTGTACTTTCTGAATTGGATGATATAATCATGGAGTGTTTGCTACATACATTTTTCAGATTATACTATTAACATTAAAACAAAAATGACTGTTTATGATAATTATTTTATTTTATATCTAACAGCTTCGATCAATATAGAATTCAATTAATTAATTAACTATAACTCCGAAATAAATTGTAGCATTCTTTTACATAAACAGAAATTTTCTTATTGCTAATTAATATGAACACTTTTTTTTTTCTGTAGAAAATTAACAATAATGTATTGAATTTAAGAAAAGTTCAACATGAAATGTGTTTAGTCTATCAACAATTCACTCAATGTACACTTTATGAAAATGATGAAGAAAAATTAAATCAAGCAATTGCTCAATTAAAAAATGATTTAGGTAAGTGAATATTAAAATTTAGATTTGTATTTTCATTGATAAACATATCAAAAGTATTTATATGTAGTTGTATTTTACCGTCACAAGTTCTTGCTAAATTTGAATAATGCCTAGGAAGTAAATTCCAGTGGTATGCGAGTGATTCGGTTGAGGAATCACAGAAAGGATGAAACGCGCATCATGATTCTTTCTGCTAGCCACTACCAACTTTAATCAATGATAGTTTGACGTTTGTGTTAGCCAATCAACTGATGGGGAATGAATTACCACAATCAACAACTTCATATTTACATTGTAATTGTATGGATCGATTATTTGATAAGTAACGAATGTTATGTTTATCCAGTCAACCTAACACATATTAAATCCTATCAGTCAAGTTTGCATATTACTACTGGTCTAAATGACTATATTTCTAAACATAAATAGCTGATGAATCCAGAAACACTTCCATCAGTGTTCAGTGATATTAAAGCAAAGATCTATTATGGTTATAAGGCTACATTCAAGCCTCCTTAATTAAATGAATTTCTAAAATTATTGGAAAGAATAATCTGTCATGCCAAAGTAGTTCTATTTTTATTTGGATATGACACTCATAGTGATAGGTTTTAAGTCTTAAAATAGCAATAATCCGATTCGTTAGCAGTACAACTTAACTTCACTAGGTTTAAATATTTCTGTTTGTATCATGCTACTTGGAATTGTTTAATAGTGTTATTCTCTGTAAACATTCAACACTGCTGTAAATAATATCTAAAATGAACTGTTAAAACAATGAAGATGAATGTTGTTTAGATATGATTGTGTGTCATGTTCTTTTGATTATACTTTATTTAGATAATTTCAACTGGAATTTAGAAAGATCCTATCGTTATAAGATGAAAATCAATTTATTGACGAATTTAACAGTAAATTGCACACATTCTAATGTGGAGCTATTCAACCGAATCAATGAATTATGCAGTGTTTTAATCAAATTGTCAGAAAACTTACCAGTATGTTTAGTTTGATAAATTGTTTTCTTATTGTAATCTGAAAATTTGTATACTAGGGAAAAAGTTCAGTTTATGTTGTTACTTAACACAAAATGTGATTAAGTACTGTGACAATATAATAGTATAAAAAACATGCATGTGTCGAGGATTTTTATACCGTCTTGGCTTCGAGTTTGCTTGCTGTATCTCCTATTGTAGTGAATGAGAACACAGGCGGGGCAACCGAATTGTATTTAACGAAAATTACAGTCATTCAGTAAAATCGGACAACCATATCGTAAATCGTTCATTTGCAAAAGATCAGTTCATCCTATGGAACTGGACTGTTCCTGTTGCCAAACATCAATCCATTGTCACTATTCATGCGTTTGATACAAATTCCATTGTTTTCTAACTATTCCTTTCTTGATCTTCCCCACATATTATGCTACCAGACTTTACGTTGACACTCACGTTATATACTACTTATAAGTAGTTCGCACCACAGCACCACACTATGTTTTCTTGACTAAGTTGGAGACAAAGTAGAGAATAGATCACGTCCAAAATCATTTCTTAATATCCTAAACAGCAAAATTAAATCCCCTAATATGTAGTTTAAAATATCAAGCAGTACTAAATGCGTTAAGGCACGCAGCCCAGAAAATAGGCTGGCAAAAATCCAAAGTATTTTATCCGAGATATCTCAATCATTTTCTAAGAATTCGCCTGAGGCTTGTGTACAGTTTCTTAATCTGGTACCCACTAGGACTGTGTAAACTGTTTTAGGTATATTTGTATTTGCTACGGTGAAAGTACTTTGGAGTATAGGCCACCAACCCGTATTGTCCAACCTACACTGTCCTGAGCTTCCCTTTTCAGTTCTGTCCAATTTTTATTCATTCTTCTCATGTCCGTCTCTATTATTCTGCTCAATGTGTTTCTTCATCTTTGCCTTTTCCTCTGATCTTGAGGATTCCAAGTGGTGGCTTGTCTTATGAGGCAGTTGGGTGCTGTACTCCACCCTTGTACTCCATCCACTTCCACCGCTTCTTCCTGATTTCACCCTCCGCTGGAATCCGGTTTGTTCTCTCCCACATTAGATTGTTTTTGATGGTGTATGACCAACGAATCCAAAGTATTTTGTGTAGACAACCGTTAGTAAATGCTTTCACTTTCTGGATGATGCCTTTCTCAGTTCTCCAAGTTTCCGTTCAATGCAGTGGAACTGTCTTGACATCTGTATTGAAAATTCTGACTTAAGTGTTTGTTGATAATTATTTTGAGTTCCAGATGTTGTTCATTTGTAGAAATACAGCCCTTGCTTTGCCAATCCATGCCTTCAAATCTGCATCAGATCCACCTTGTTCATCGATTTCAATGCCCAATTATGTGAAGGTTTTTACTTCCTCCAATGCATCTCCACCAAGAGTGATTTGGTTGGCACTTGTTGTGGTATATCAGAGAATCTTGTTTTTCCCTTTGTGTATGTTGAGACTTACTGTCGCTGAAGATGCTGCTACACCAATCGTATTTCTTGCATTTGTTTTTGCTGCAGCGATAGAGGAGCCACATCATCTGCGAAGTCTAAATCATCCAGCTGCATCCTAGCTGTTCGCTGCATACCGTTCTTCCCTCCAGATGTCTTCATAATTGGTCGATTACCAAGAGAAAGCGAAAGGGTGAATGTAAATAACCTTGCCTGACACCAGTGTTCAACTCAAACGAGTCTATCAGCTGCCCCCGTGCCAGATTTTGCAGTTTAATCCATCATAAGAATTCCGTAGGATGTTGACTATCTTCTCAGGCACGCTGTAGTGTCGAAGCAGTCGTCATAACGTTTTCCTATCCATGTTATCAAATACTTTACTGTAATAATCAAAGTTGATGTAGAGTGAAGAATTCTGTCCAAATGACTGTTAAACGATTATTCAGAATGATGCAATTCGGTCTGCAAATTATAGATCTTTACGATATTCAGACTGCTGATCTCGAAGTCTGGCGCCCACAGAGTCCTTCATTCTGTCTAACAATACCTCACTGCTTTGCCGCTCTTGATTTTTCTGATAGCCATGTTGGTGGTTCCACACTAATTGAGAGGTCCGTGGGTACTGCTTCGGTGTTGGGTGGGTTTGTGTGGCTGGTCGATTCAAGAGTTCTCCAAAGCGCCCGATTCACCTGTTTCGCTGTTCTTCAGTGTCCCTGGATACTTTGCCTTCCTTGCTTTTCATTGGTCGTTCTAGTTTACGATAATTTTCAGCGAGCTTCTTTGTTGTGTCATACAATTGTCTCAGGAGTCTTTCTCTAGCAGCCTTTTCCAACATCATTGCTAAAACCTCCACAAATTCATGTTTGTCGGCTCTGATACTCCACTTTACTTGCTTCTTTGCTTCTGTGTACTCAGCTTGCGTTTTGACTTTCCCTGCTCTCATTCGTATGATACTGATTGCTGCTTTCTTGTTTCTCCTATCTTGAATCTTATATAGTGTATCAATAGTGACCCATTCCTTGTGATAATGCTTCATTTAGCCACAACAAAAACAGTAATTCTTATAATGTGCTGAACAACCGTAGTACACTACAAATGAATTAAATAACAGTGCATCTTTTATATTAATGAAAAATGGTTATCTAAAATTAAAAATTTTATCCAATTTTTACCTTTCTTTCATAGAATAATATCCTGTCATATACAAAAAGTCTTTTGGAATACAAATCAGATTTTCTGAGTGCAACTCAATTTAGATTTATACAACCAACTGACTTACAAATAGATTATTCTCTCAAAGATGATTCAATAATCAATGATCAAATTGACAAAATACGAACATATCGAACCAATGTACATAATTCAAGAGTATTATTAAAAGAAGTAGATAGAATAAATCAAAGAATGAAGTGTATATTTCGAAGTTTGTTAAAATCTACGGCAGATTATTTGATTTCATCAAACTTTTAATGTTCATTTGTAGTAAACTTTGTATATGTTGTTTTTTATTGGAAATAAAATAAGATGGGAGTTTCTTCCTGAAGACAGACTATTTTTTGAAGACTTTTTCGTGATTAACGTTTTGTGTTTATGTGAAGGGATTCGGGAAATCGGAACGTTAGCGAGACAACTCAGGATGATGAATTAAAATGATCTATAACGTAGCCAATATAGGTCAAGTACCATAATAAAATACACACTCAACACCGCTGGGTGCTCACACGAATAGAACTTCCAAATCAATGTTCTAAGGTTTTTGTCTCTTTTGTGTAATCTGTCCAGTAAGAAAATACACAGGTTTTGTTCTCTTCAGATTGTTTGCAAAGCTGATGCAAACAATAAACTTTTTTCACAATAACTTATATTCTATCATGCGAGTTACATGAGATTCTGATTGGCTTCGGTTGGCTTGAATTGAGACACCCTATAAGTTTAACTGCGTACGAGACAAAATTCAAATTAAGTGATGAGGTTGAAGTTTTCGCGTACTCACATAAACGTTGTAGCATTTTTCCTCAGGTGAATTTGATCTTTTTAATTATCATATCGTCATCCTTCCCTGTACCACGAACAGTGGTTAAAAACAGTCCATGCTGTGTATTCCCAGCTGGTCGGAAGGCTTTACCAAGGCTTTCATCTGTATTGTTTGCAGAGACTTCTATAGAAGATCTATAAAGACCAAACATGCATGTCCGAGCCATGGAGTTTCATATACTCCTTCTGGTTAGATTCAATTAACTTTCTATTCTAATTGCGAATTCAACGCCCAGTAAGAATTACATCAGTCAATGTGTTCAATGTAGTCCCACTGTCACCACAGGCTTTCAAAAATCGACAACAAAACTTTTTTTATCATTGAACTTTAGTTCATATCCTTTGTGCCACCCATGGCTGGCTGTCCAGTGATTGCATAGGTATTTTCTACTATACCTAGTCACATTTAGGCTCTTATGAATTCAGCAGTCTATTGTGGTTACAGCGATTTTGACTTTACCTAGTTTCGGGAACACTGGAATGTCCTATTTTTCTTAAGGTCCGATGTTTCTGTTGACTTACATCAAGCTTAAAACAAAATAATGGTCAGACTTCGGTGGTTGTTTGGAATTCCATTAAATCCGAAAATCTTGTAAGGACATATGCTGAGAAAGTCGCGACCATTGGACAAAGGTCGCGATAACCAACAGATAACCAATTTTCGAAATCTACGTTAAGACGATAACTATCTACTTACTTTTCGTGGTAAAGAATTATCCACATGAAATAAATGTTTAATGGCTCGTGATCTAACTTCGATCTGTAAGGATAGTTAATTGACCATGAAATAAATCTCTCTTTAAAAATTCCCTATATCATTCTTCAGCAAACTCCTTTTGCTTGACTGCAGTGATTAAAAGCCCAATTAGATTCTATGTGGATGAATTTATTTTATACCTTCTCCTAAGTGGACAGACAAAAGAATGCAAAGCGACTAAAGCGGAGGTGAGTAAACCATTTCACTGTGATGAGACATGACAAAATTCTTATCGTCATGCGAAAATATACTATAAAATGCACACATACTCAAATCAAAACAATTAAAGTTATTAATTAATAACTAAAACGGTCAAAATTAGAGTGGCAAGTTCGTCTAAAAGTTATGACAAGCCATATGGATTCGATGTATAAAGGCTCACCAAAGAGCTCAACTACATAAACTGACAAGAAACACTTTTTGCACTCATTAACTCCACGTTTGTAATATGCCTCCACGTATCCATTATCGCTATCACTGTCATTCTACTCAATTCACTTTCTTCGTACATCTTGGTCTGTTTGTAACTGTCAGATATTTTTCGTTTATTTTTACAAATAATTACCTTGTTTACACTGAGCCATTATGCTCTGTATACTTCTCTGCATATCAATATAACAACCTCCATATAGCAGTTAACCAATAAAAGACCTGGTAACAAGACTATCGCTAATTCAAGAACCCTCACTGTTCTGAGACAAATACACTTACTTTTATCAAGAACACACATAATTAACTAAACGATAGGTTTCCATCAAGTTTCGTACGCAATTATATATTAAATAGTTTGTCACAAGGCTACTCAACATTGAAAACGTCTCACATAAACAATTTAGAGATCACTACCTAAAGTCTACTTTCTCCACCATCACCACTAGTCGGAAATTCGGTTAAACACCTAATCATTAGGATATGAACGGTAGTCCACAATTCCGAAAATTTAGGCTAGACCCCAATTCATCGGACACTACCAAACACCTGTAATCGTTCGAAAAGAACAAGAATCGAGCTCAGAGAGATTACCTGGCTTATACTAGCTCGTGAAAAGGATATTGGATATCGAATATATTGAAGCACTAGGTGTCCTTGAACGACCTTGGCAGTTTTTTTGGCGCTGCTACAATGTTGAGTTGATCGAAGATGTTTCCTGTTGGCCAAGGGAAATATGAACGTTTGGTTGATGAAGATGATCACTTACACCAAGATACAAATTTGAGAGGAAATAGAAGTTTTTACACCAAAAAAGGAGCATGGGATCATATCCAGAATTTGGACCAGTTTTTCTCTGACATATACAAATATCATCAGAGTGGAGGTTTCACTGTAAGCCTAATAAACTAAACTTTCTTTCTTGTATTAACATCTTTTTATGCAGACCTAAATTTTCGCTACTTTTACTGCAGTCATAAATAACGAAGTGAAATATCCAATACTTGTATTTGTCACATCTTTAATTGACTAATTCAGACATACTCCATGGTCCAGCTTTTGAATTGTAAACTCACAGGGTCTTAGTTTCTTAGAATTAAAAAATTATTTTTGACTATCAACCTTTTGTAATTAATTTCACGTAGTCATATCTAATCGCACCAGAATCATCACACTAACTATATTATCACTGTATTCATATTTTCGATCCCGGTTGCCCATTAATTTGCGTTGACAAACTATCCTATAAGTAATGAGGTTGGCTCAATTTAGGCACTATTTCAGTTTACAATTATCGTTAATATTAACGAAACCATCTGCATTTAGTGGTCAAAGTAACAACAAAATCCACTTGTAACTAAAGAAAACTGTTGCGACCTATTCAACCTATCGGTAACAAAAAATCTGATGGCCAATTTGTTCGATTAGTTACACTTATTAATCTTTAAATATGTATTAGAAACTAGGTGGCTTACTTTAAAGGATGAGCTAGTCCATTTCACTAATCATTTAAATTAGCTCTTCATGAATATAGATAGTCAGTCAGCAACCAACGTAGAACTTGGTACATACGTATATCACTTCAAGTTGCTATACCACATTAGCACAGTTACGCAGTTGCCAATTCAAATCCAATAGTAGTTAAGGATATAACAGTATAATCAAAAGTGGAAATGATTAGGGATCCAAGACGATTCAAGAAGTACAACCCAATGAAAAAATTAGAAGAGGTAATTGGTTGTTGGACACACGTAACACATCCCAACCACCTCAAATGATGAAGGTTCAATCCTTCATCAGTTGATGTGTCATCTTTACCTAGCAGCCGTTTCCTAACACCACAATTGCTTACTTAATGGTCCCAGGACATACGAGCAATGCTTCGAAGATACCTTTGATCTAATACTAGTAACCTATGAATATCCTCTACTCCTACTAGCAATGTTTCACACCCGTATAGTAGAATGAAATGAACTTCTGCACAGTAGACTCGTCCTTAGTTTAGCGAAAGCCATTCTACCCTACTTTATTTCGTGCCAAGACCTCATCAGACCAGACCATTAGCACCGATGAGACTCCCGAGATAAGTGAAGCAGTAAACTCGCTCAACTACTTCGCTCCCTATCACTAGTTCAGATGCCGACACAAGCTATTCCTGAAGCAACATTTTGCATTTGGAGGGAGAGAATCGAATCCCAAACATGCTTGCATTGTTGCTTAAGGTAGTCAGAAGACTGCATTTTCTCAGTGTCTTCACTTAATAGAGCTGTCATCGGCATATTTTAAGTCAGCAAGTGAATCGCCTAGTAAAAGTTCAATTCCAGAAAAGTCAGACGAAAGTGTCGTATCTAAAAGCATTTCTATGACAAAGCTGAGTGGAAATGGAGAGAGTGGATATCCATGACGAACACCACTTGAAGTAATTAATTTGAATGACCATTCACCATAAGCCCTAGCTCCGCTAGTCGTGTTCGAGTAGATAACCTGTTTAAGGTTAATTTACTGTGGTACAGCTTTCAATGATAGACACTCCCACAGAATCTCACAATCAACATAGTCAAATGCAGCCTTAAAGTTGATAACTACAACTATTGTCGGACGTCGAGATGTATTTATTTGTTCCAGGACCTGACGAAGAGCGAATATATGGTCTATACATCCACGTCCAGGTCTTAACCCACCATGAATTTCTCGAATCTGCACTTCATGAGCTATAGTTAGGCATCGAAGTATTGTTGAAGCTAACATTTTGAATACTGTATTAGTTAAACTAATTCCTCTATGGTTGTCACAAAAGGACTTTAGTCCTTTCTTATACATTGGAACAATCAATGATTGAGACTAGTCAGATGGGATCACATCCAGTTCCCATATTCTACCTAAGATCTCAGTCAGTATAACTGCGACAACTAGACCATCATCCTTAAAAATCCCAGATGTTAATCTATCAGTGCCTGTTGCTCTCCCCTTTTTCAGATTTACTATAACCTTTCCAACTTCAATAAGAGTTGAAGGACTGATATCAACTTTCTGTCCAGGTTGACTGGAGATAGTGGGTAACTGATGTGTGGATGAACTGTTCCCAAAAATGTTCTACCGACCGATCCTATCTCCTGTACTAAGAATGAACGATCGTCCTGTCTTTTTCCGAGAGCCTCACTAACACTCCTATCCCTAGTACCAGTTTCCTTAATAAATCTGAACAGTTTTCTACTGTTACCTATCGCTTTCGCTACCCACCACTGTTCGCAATCATGGCGTAGACTTTTTATCAACCTTTGTTCAAGCTCTCTCTGTTCCTCACCGTGTTCAGACGGAGTAAGTTTCCAAGCATCGAGCAGTTCAGTACATACCACTGAAGTCCACAGCTTCCCCCTGACCTTTTGGTTTAACTTACTGACAGATATCACAGCTGTTTCCACATCTTTTTGGATGTCATTCCAAGCTGCCTCAGGGTGGGCACCACTTGCATGGCTGTCTAACCGTTTTTTATCGTTAAGGATTACTGCGTTGTTGTTTCCTTCTTACGTCCAGTAAGCCACAGACAAATGCGTGCTCATACTAGAGCACGATCTGAATCTAAATATGTGCTACATAACGAATGGCAGTCTTCTATCGAGCCTCTCCGTCGGTGTCTGATAGTGATGTGGTCTGTTTGGGTCCAACATTGTGTCGGTTTTTGGAGTCACCATGTCAAAGTTGCTGTTTACCACAAACAGGCGGTCATCTGAGCCGCGACTATCCACTGGAATTGAGTCTAGGAGAGCTAGTTCAGCCTTAGAACTCAGTATCATACCTCACCATTGAGGAGACGGGAAGCAGCAGTGGGACTTCCAGTTATACGAAGTGTGAATCACGGTGGTTCGTTATTTTGACAAGGTGAGGTTCAGTAAATGACTGCAAGGATCCTATACTTGTGTTTCAAAGACGCAGCATGCACCAATGACGCGAGATTCTAGAGTCCTTTCTAAGGAAGCGTGTTATCCTATTTGGCACTAGGTCCGAAGATTGAAAGCTCCAACATGTAGTTTAGAGAGTCGTTTCAGGAGACCAAGAATAACATACCGTGTATTCAAATCGTTAGTATTAGCGGCACTAGGTGATGAAAGTATACAAGAATGGTTAGTTGTGGAAACAAGAGTTATTAAGAGGTATGGGAAGGATTTGATTGTGAGCAAGTTGGTCTCGTGTGCTGTTTCAGGTATGAGGGCGGATGTTACTTCCCGATCACGCACACCTTGAAAGAGTATTTCTTGAAGAACCTGAAAAGGAAGCCGGATTAGTGTTGGTCTTAGAGACCTGGAAGCGTTACCGTAGTGCCCAAGAGATAACTGCTTGAAGCCGGTTTTTTTATGAGCAGTTTTCAGAGTCTTAGCTCCGCTCTTTTTTAAAAGGCCTTACCGCCGGAGATGGAAATCCGTGAGGCAAGGTGAGGTGTGACATTTTTAGGGTCGACCCTTTCTAACCCCTCCTTCCTTGTAAGAAGGTAGCATCACTGCAGATGCTGGTTGTCCGAGGAAAGCACCATACTTCTTTCGCACCCCTCTACAGTCAGCAGTACGACTTCGCCCTGAGACCTTGGGTAGCTGCTTTTAGTCTCACCGTTCTCCAATCGACCTGCCTGGCATGGTAGTGCCTACAGGAACATATGTTCCAGCCAATATAGCTCGACTGGGTCAACACGATATTCACACCCAACCACCACATCAAGGTAGCAGCTACGGTCGTAAATAAACTGCACTCTATTTTGTGAACGTTCACTTTAATATCAATACAACAGCACATATCCTTAGATACTTGAGGATCTAAGTGCCACAAGAGTGATTATTGTTATTAAGGTTGTCTTAATCATGACATGATCAACTTCTATATTAGATTTGAACAAGTAAAAAGTCACTCATTCAATATCGATTGGTTTCGAACAAAATTCAGACTACAACATGCAAGTGTTTCTAAAATTTTTGACTGTACACTATAAAATATCCGTAAACTTCTAACACTCACTTATCAGCCTCTGGCGTTCAAAGTAGTGAGTAAATGTATTTCCTACGAAGTTGTCTATTAAATAAGTGTGATAAATGGTATTACCTTATCTCGAATTTCATGTCATATCTCAATTATCTCAATTTATTTTACGACTAAGTTTTATTTTGCATAATCCTTCGTCAGTCACCAGGCTATCAGCACTGAGACTTCCGAGATAAGTGAAGCGGTCAACACGCTCGACTACTTCACTCCCTATCACTAGTTCAGGTGCCAATGAAACCCAATCTTGAAGCAACATTTTGCATTTCGACGAGGAGAACCGCATCCCGAACATGCTCGCATTGTTGCTTAGGGTAGTCAGAAGACTGTATTTTGTCAGCGTCTTCACCGAATAGAACTATGTCATCGGCATATTCTAGGTCAGTAAGCGATTTTCCCGGTAGAAGGTCAACCCCTGAAAAATCTGACGAGCTTAATGTTAACTCTAAAAGCATATCAACGACAAAGTTAAACAGCCCTGACGGACACCACTTGATGTAGAGAATTCAGATGACAGTTTGCCATAGGCCTTCACTCGACCAGTGGTTTTCGAGTAGAGAGCTTATATAAGGTTAATGTACTTCTTTGGCTTTCAATGACAGTCACCGCCACAGAACCTCACGATCCACCCAGTCAAATGCCGCGTTTAGGTCCAGGAACACAACTATTGTCGGACGTCTAAATGTGTGTCTGTGTTCCAGGACCTGTGGTAGTGTGAAGATGTGGTCTATACAGCCACGTCCAGGTCTGAAACCAGACTGGTTTTCTCTAGTCTGCTCTTCACGAGCTCTAGTTAGACGTCTCAGTACAATGGAAGCTGACAATTTAGAAACTATATTAGTTAGACTTATTCCCCTGTGATTGTCACAAGAGGATTTTTGTCCTTTCTTGTAGATTTGGACAATTAGCGACTGAGACCAGTCAGATGGGATTACGTCCAGTTCCCATATTCTACCTAAGACCTCGGTCAGTCTAACTGTTAAAACTGGACCACCATCCTTAAACATCTCAAGGGTAAGCCTATCAGGACCTGCTGCTCTCCTTCTATTCAGATTTCCTACAGCTTTCTCAACTTCATGTAGACTGGGAGGACTTAAATCGATTTGCCATTCAGGATGACTGGAGATCGTGGGCAACCAGTGTGGCTGAAGACCAGTTGAACTGGTCCCTAAAGTGTTCTGCCCATCGGTCCAATCTCCTGGATTGCGAATAAATGATACAACCATCCTTTCCTGAGATAGTCTCACTCACATTCGGGTTCCTAATACCGGTTTCTTTGATTAGGCGGAAAAGTTGTCTAGTGTTGCCTATCGCCGCTGCCTTTTCTATCGCTTTTGCTTTCGCCACCCACCACTGTTCGCGGTCGTTACGTAGGCTTTTTGTCAGTCTGCGTCTAAGCTGACTTCGCTCCTCATCATGTTCAGAGTCAGGTGGGATGCGTTTTCGAGCATCCATCAGTTCGGTGGATGCGACTGAAATCCACGGCTTCATCCCAGCCTTATGGTTTACCTTGCTAGCAGATATCACTGATGTTTCCACAGCCTTTTTGATATCATTCCAACCTGCCTCCGGACGGGAATCACTTACACGGTCGCCTAACTGTTTTTCTAGTTCCTCCTGAAGTATTTTCTTAGCTCGGTTATCATTAAGTAAAGCCCTAAAATGTTTCTTTGCGATATTTTTCTTGCGTCCAGTAAGGCGCAAACAAACACGCGCTAGAGCATGATCTGAATCTAAACATGTGCCCCACAACGAGCGGCAGTCCTCTATCGAACCCCTCCATCGGTGGCTGATGGCGATATGATCTAGTTACGTCCAACGTTGAGACGACTTCGGGGGTCGCCAGGTCAAAAGATGTTTTTCCTTATGCTTAAAATTAGTGTTTGCTAGAAATAGGCGGTAAAAGATAGTTGTATTGGATTCTCATCGATTGGCGTATCATAACTTTAGATGTAATCAAACGGTTCAAAATTGGATTTAATGGCAATCTCACTTTTATTCTTTATCATGTTTTACGAAATCAGTCTTGATCACTACCGAATAGAACCTAGTTAACACAAATATTTGAGAAAACCCACTAATACGAGCTACTGAGTTCCTAAAATAGATTAAGTTAATAATTTCACTGGCTTAAAGCTTATCACGCCGTCCATCATTTAGTTTGTTACCTTTATGTAGTACATTTTCTCGCACCATGACTATAGCCATAAATAAAACCTTGCTTATCAAACGTGAATTAAAATCATGCTTGACTTTGACTTCCAAATACAATTGCCATCTTACCTCAAATTTGGTCAACATTGCACTGAGTTTAGTGTTTTTCCTACTCTGTGACTAGTGATTCGATTGTTCCAGTATTTTTTATTCGCAAAATTTTCTAGCTATCTGCAACAGGACGTTTTATTTATATTCATTTTCTTCATTTCAAACTGGACCCCCAAATGCCCTAATAGGATCGAGAGTCAAGAAAGTCTGCCCTCCCTCTTGAAATGTTCTCCATAAGGCCACAACGTGTATATCCACTGCTAAGGAAGTCCTACTCACTGCCTTTTCGTGGTGAGAGTGTTGTTTAAGAATTTGAGAGAACGAAAAGCGATTGTCCAACTTGGGTTTAAACCGAATAGGTGGGCATGAGGGATTGACGCAGGGGAGCTGGGAAATCCTGATGGAACGAATGCCTTATGGACGTTGCTCCACTGCCCTGTAGGTTAGACTGTTGGGTCAAAGGCTCTGGGAATGGCCGCCTAAGAAAACCAATTGCCTCGATTTGGGTAGTCACGAAGTATCCCAACCCACTCGCAAATTGGATAACTTGTCTGACGCATAAATATTTAGTTGCCCCTTTGTACCAATAGTTATGTGCTTAAATAAATGAATAAAAACTGGTAAAATCCTTATATTCTGATGGGCACATAAATGGAACATACCGCTATCAAGGCCTTGTGTAAGTCACAAACTGGTGATACTCATAGAGATAATGTGTAGTTATAGTCGTATTTTATAAGTTTTCTTCTTTCCAGTGTACATATACATATTATACCTTTACTATTTTTGAGTTAATTGAATTTCCATTTTGAATTAGAATACTATCAAACTGAAACGATACGGTATTAATAGCTTTTAATGAACTGTTGTCATTTCAATTTTCAAACTAAAATTTTATGGTAATGTAATAATCTGAAATAATGGAGTTCAAAATAGCTAGGAGTACTAGATATACCAGTACCAAAATCAAGAAGAACACTGTGATCACAACTGGAAGTATTGTATTTTGAAATTAGATCTGCAACGGAATCATGTGTAAAGAAATAGTTAATATAGTACAAATACTACAGTTAACACCGGTCACTTTTATTGTTTAACAATTTATGTGCACGTGATATGTTCGTTTATTTTAAAAATATCTAATTTAACAATAGGTATTGAGCCTAATTTTCACGTGTAGATTTTGTCCACTGTGTTACTTATTTGAAATGGTCATATAAGCACCTACATTTGTGGGGGTTTGTTTGAAATTTAGGAGTGTTTTTTCTTACCTTAGCCCAGTCAGTCAGTCGAACGTGACGTAGAACCTAGTACGTACGTACATCAGTTCAAATTGCCATACCTTGTTATCACAGAAAGATGATATTGTCAGGAGAGTAAACATAATGACAGTATCAGTGGTAATAAAAAGAATTAGGGATCAAAGATACAATTCAATAAAAATTCATAACCTTAAAATTTGAGGAAAGACAATGCATTATTGAACCTACAACCATTGCAAATGATTTTTAGCCATGCCACTCAAAGTCTCTAACCATCGGTTACGATTATCACGCGGAACCCAACCAGGTAGTCTACACCTACTAACATAGCTCAGTCAATTTGTCAATGACTCCATGGATTGGTGCCATGTTTTGTTTCCGCTGCCCCTATCTTTCTCCTAATCCTACACCAGATAACATCGCCAATCGAGGTGGGTGATGTTTGAGAATGCGCTGTTCTACTTATTTCATTTCAAATAAGTCACTTTTACAGAAAAAGTATTAATTTATTTAAAGGTTATCTAATCCCTAAAACATACTAAAGGCCTCTTATGCATAGTTTACTATATTATCAGTCTAGAACTATTTAGCAAATACTAAAAAGATCTACTTCGACCTATTATACACATTAGTGCTAAATAGTAATGAAAAAGACAAACAAACCTTGAAAACTAGTATGATTTAAGATAGACTCATAACTAACTACCTGGAGTATTTAATTTTCGTAAAATGTTGAAAAACAAACATACATAATAATAACTGTTCTCTAATAACATCATACAGGAATTCTCTAACTAATATCAATGTATGCTGAAAACTAACTTCCACACAATATTCATCTAGTTAATATATAAATTTGAGTAAAACAAAAAAATTCCTTTCATTGTAAAATACAATCAATCAATCAATCGATAACAAATTTCATGCATAACAGTGTATTTCTTTCTATGCATGCGTCATTATTTACTTGTTGAAAATTTAGTATACAGAAGAAAAAACAGCACTCACTAAATAATTTTACTAAGGCTTTAAATGCTTTTTTTTTTGAAAAAAAAAATAATCAGATGATCATGTCAATTAGTCGATATTTTCTTAGAATATTTATTATGTTATATTTGTCAACACTCTATTTTTTGTTTATTTAATCTAAAAAAAATTTTTCTTTCTCTCTTAATTATTATTACTATTATTATTATTTTATTTCAGGTGATTCTTTTAGCACAAATATTATGGCTTGTTAAATTTATATTTGTCATTTTTATCACTATTGAATTATCTGTATGCACAAGATGGAATTATTTAACAAATAATAGTTTATATGTTCAAAATTGGACAGATGTCTTTCAACCACCAAATCAATGTTGGGCTTCATTGCCATTTTTTGCATCACTTCTAGTTGTAGGCTCTGTAATAACAATTCTTATTCAAATTATTATTGTCAGTGTACGATTAAGTCGATTTTGGGAAATTCGACGATTTTGTACGCATATCTTAAGTATGCCATCAAATGATATTGGATTAGCTGATTTAACATGGTCTGAAGTACAACAACGTTTACTCCGATCACAACGTGATTTTCAATTTTGTGTATACAAAGTTAATTTAGATGAATTAGATATATATAATCGTATATTACGGCATAAAAATTATTTAATTGCAATGATTAATCAAGATATTATTCCTATTCGATTTCGTATACCATCTAGTTTCAATCCTCAATTAATTTATTTACCTGATGGTTATGTATTTAATTTGAAACTTATCTTATTTTGGACACCATGGTCACCGTTTCATAATTATTGGCAATTGAGAGCTGATTATAAATGGGTTACTAAACGTCATGAATTAGCTGTTGAATTGGCTACACGTATACGTATTCTTGGGTTAATCAATCTTCTTATGGCACCTATAATCTTCATTGCTCAATTGATAGCATTTATATGTGCTAATGCAGAACGTCTTCGACATCAACCATCTACAATGTTTGGACGTCGTTGGTCTAATTATGCTCACTTGTATTTACGACATTTCAATGAATTGCAACATGAATTTGAAACACGTTTAAAACAAGCATATCTTCCAGCTTCTCGATATCTTGATAGTTTTGTGTCACGACCACTTACAGTTCTAGCTGAAGCAGGAGCTTTTATTTTCGGTGGTGCTTCAGTAGCTTTTTTTATTGCTGGTCTTATACGTGAACAAATGATGCATTTGCCTGGTTACTTAGCTATACTAGTCGGTGGTGGTTTATTGGCTAGATCATGTCTTTCGTTAATTCCAGATGACAATATGGTTTATTGTCCACGTAGTTTATTAGTGTCAACCTTAATGCGTATTCATTACATGCCTGATCATTGGAAAGAACAAGCTGGTACATATCAAGTGAGATCAGAATTTTCACAATTGTTTCAATATCGTATGATAGGTCTGTTAGAGGAGTTATTTTCCCCAATTATTACACCTTTAATTCTCATCTTTATTCTTCCTAATCATACTCTCGAAATTGTTGATTTTCTTCGAAATTATACTGTCGAAGTTCCTGGTGTTGGAGATGTGTGCAGTTTTGCACAACTGGATATACGCCGTCATGGTGATCCTATGTGGCAACCAAATGCAGAAAGTGGTAGTGACGATCAAAGTGAAACAGATAATGATGATCATACAAATGAAATTCACTCTTGTTCAGTAAAAACTATTAGATCTGGTAAACAGGTAGAAAAGAAAATCCCAGCATATAATGCTAGTGAACAGAATGAAGATACGGTAGAAGCTAATCATAGTGATTCAATTCAACACAGTGCTGCAGGTGGTAAAATTGAGCTTAGTCTTATGCATTTCCATCTTACTAATCCATCTTGGCGGCTTCCACCAGATGGTTTGGCTTATCTAAAATCAGTCAGAAATCAGGCCTTATTAGATCTACAACAACAACAGCAGCAACAACAGTTAGACCAATTTCAAGATAACTACAAGAATAATACTCAGACTGGTAGAATTGCTTCACAACCAGCCCCAGGTATGTTCTCAACTCTGTATGGAAGACAGGAAAGTGCAACGACTAGTATATATCGAAGTACATATCCGCAACTCCCAAATTCATCATGTATTGAAAATTCAGGTGGTGTATTGAAGAATGTTTCGCATTTACCAGGTTCTGGATTAGTATCTGAAAATACCTATGGTGTTGTAGGAGCTATGGCTGAATCTATGAGAAGTTCAGGGTCTCAGTCAATGCATCGTTCTGGTTTAAATCTCACTGAACCTCAAATGCTAGAACCTGGTGTAAGGAGAGTGTCTCATAGTGATATTGTTACTAATACATTACCACCATGTACTAGCTACAATGTTTCAAAGACTGCTCCAGAAACTAATGTGGTACCACAGAAATCTGATTCAGATATGATTAGATCTCAGCTTGGTCCAGCCTTATTTAATTATTCTATGCTTGATGGACCTACACCTATAACCATGAGCTTGATGGCAGCATCTGCGCTGCATTCTGCTGATAACATGGGTCTCCCTTTTTACCAGCCTTATAATTCACAGATCGAAGATGGTTTAAGCCAACATACAGGTTTCAATAACAGCCTTATTGGGAGTGTAGGAGGGCGCCGCTGCACCGTAACTGAAGTACTAACAGCAGATATGTCAGTAAGTGCTCTTTATATTCATGAGCTTTTCCACAGAAGACGAAGACAACGACAGAATCACGACTCAACTCGGGGCTATAGTTCACAGCGTGGTATGACAGGTAGTACTCCTGGTGTCAATGATCAGAACAACGAAACTTCTCTCCCTTCACAGTCATCAAACCCACCAGGTGTAGGTGTTTACTCTACGTCTGGATACCTACCCGGATATCAGCTGTCGCACGGTTCATATACTAATAATTCAACCACTCTACCAGGATCAAGAAATACTATGGAATATGGTCCTATTTATCCCACCTCACCATCTTGTGAGCCTGGAATAATTAGAACGCCTTCAGATGGCCGCAGAATACCTTCATCCCATTTTACAGATGTCACGGAAGAAGATGATGAAAGTGTTGGAACACCCAGATCATGTAGAGATACAAACGTTTCTGTTTATATACCAGGAAGTGAATCACATATAATTCGTTATCCAAGCGGTCAAACTACTACAGGAGGTGGTGGTATTATTACTCTGTCGGGTAGTCCATCAGTACGACCTCAGCATGGTATGTCGTATCAAAATATACAACAAGCAAGTGATCCAAGCCTGAGTTCAGTTCCCAATATTGACAGTGATCTAATATGGCCTGATTTGCCTCCTACTAATTGTTAGTCTTATCAATATACAATACAAATCGATGCTTGTAGGTTCAACTATGTAAAGCAGTAACTTAACTTAGTTTTAACTTTATTTCATTTATCCCTTCATGAATAATAAAAACGACAATGAGAACACGATCATTGATTTATTTAAAATGAGCTTTTAAACACTTCATAACACGTGCATTCATTTATATCTCCCTACTTCTTTTTTGTTTAATTATCCTAGCTAAGAGGTATTTCAATGTATCCAAATTACATACACATTAGATTGGACATATTTTTTTGCAAAACTAATCAAAAAATGTTTTATTTATTTATTATTTTTAACATCACTTCACTTCTATTTTATGCAGCTATATACATAGCTATGAGGTGATTTTCTGTGACACAAAAATAATTTGCATGCTGTTAATTGTTGTTTTGTGATTGTAAACTTTATGCAGTTTGTTGAACCTTTTGTAAATAAGTTTATACTTTGTTAAAACAAAAACTTTTTTTTCTAGTATTTTGTTCCTGTATATTTTCGAATATTTAATGGTCCCAGTCATTTTCCCTAATTTTAAGTTACAATAAAATATAACCCAGCATAATAAGTGCATTGGTTCATTTCGTTATATTTTGAAATCGAAACTGAGAAATTAATTGTGGAAGACTGATAGGTATTGTGGTTTTATGATTTAGAGCTGAACAAATATTTGAATCCCTTAAGTGATGATACTGGTCCCAGGTGAGAAAAATGTCTTAATCGTTAGCGTAAGGTGCTATTTCGCAATTAAATCAAAACTAATTGAAAAATAATAATAGTTTATTATGCACTGTCATAGAAATATCGACTAATAGCAAAAATTAAGACAAAAATAAAACTGGTTAATAATACCATGTTTGTTTCTTTGTGTCTCATAAGTGAGATTTATTACAAACAATTCAGCCAACTAAATACAGTGTCAAATTAGCGGCGGCAAGCACTCAATGAATTGTTGATAGTTAATTAACTATAGCCTTTGTTGTAACGCTTGCCAGGATTTTTCAACTTGATACTGTGAACATTCTGGATCCCATTCTGTACTTAGAATTACATGTGCATAGTCGAGAGGACTTTTCCCAGAACAATATTGACCTGCTTCAAACCAAGTGTATCCACCTGTCACCTCAGCAACAGAGGAGGCTTGCCGTGAAAGACGTTCTGATGCTGCCTCTGGACTTAGATTGTTTCTCTCACACAGACGACGCTGAGCTTCTGTATGAGGTAAAACTGTTAACCATACCTGAAAATGAAATAGTTCAAGACATCATGAAAGCTCTTAGTTAACTACGAGTTCATTATAGAGCTACCAGCTAATAAATGTTTGGTGAGCCTCTAGCGGACCGAAATGTGTATCGTGAATTCTATTGCATTTTTTACAGCATCAACTAATAAATAGGTTGATGCCTACAACAAACCTGAACCACTAATAAAACAGCCAACATATAGTGAATTATAAGTTCTCAATTAAACTGTAAGTTCAAGACACGACAACTGGTTGATTCTACCGTTACGCATTTTCGTCAGCCTATTTTAAACAATCATTATTCATGTAATGCTCAATCCTCGGATAGGTCAGTCAGTCAGTCAGTCAGATGCAACGTAGAACTTTGTACATAAGTACATCAGTTCATGTTGCCATACCACATCAGCACAGAGAAGTAATCGTCAATTCAAATCCAATAGTAGTAGAGGTAGTAAGGGAATTAAAAGTAATCGGAGAGGTTAGGATTAGAAGATACTATTCAAGAAGTATGATTCAGTGAGAAAAGTTTAGAGAGTCGAAACTAGAGGGGTTGAAGAATCCAGAAGACTAGCATTTGAGGAAACATAGAGAATAAATGCACCGGCGCCATTGCGAACGATTCTGAGCCATGTCATTCAAGGTCTCTAACCATCGATTATTATCATCTCGCGGACCCCAACCAGGTAGTCGACAATTACCGACATGGCTCAGTCCACTAGTCAATGACTTCATGGATTTCTGCCATGTTTTGGTTTGGCCGCCCCTAGCTTTCTTCCAACCTATTCCCACACTACAAAACAAGGCTCGACGAGGCAGCCGGTGGTTGGGCATACGCAAAACATGTCCCAACCACCTCAACTGATGAAGTTTCAATACTTCATCGATTGATCTGCCATTCTTACCTAGCACCCGATTCCTAATAACAGCGTTGCTCACTCGGGTGTCCCACGATATACGAGCAATGCTTCGTAGACACCTATGATCGAAAACCAGCAACCTACGAATATCTTCTACTCTCACTGGCCATGTTTCACAGCCATAAAGTAAGACGGAGCGAACTACTGCGCAGTACACTCGTCCTTTAGTCAGCAAACGGATATCTCGCCTACGCCATAAGTGACGCAGGTTGGCAAAAGCCAATCGAGCCTTTTGTATCCGTGCTGAGATTTCGTCTGTCACCAGGCCACCAGCACTGATGAGACTCCCAAGATAAGTGAAGCGGTCTACACGTTCGACTACTTCACTCCCTATCACTAGTTCAGGTGCCGATGACACCCAGTCTTGAAGCAACATTTTGCATTTCGAGGGGGAAAACCGCATCCCGAACATGCTTGCATTGTTGCTTAGGGTAGTCCGAAGACTCTGCATTTTGTCAGCGTCTTCACCAAGTAGGACTATGTCATCGGCATATTCTAAGTCAATAAGCGAGCCACCTGGTAGAAGGTCTACTCCAGAAAATTCAGACGAGGATAATGTTAACTCTAGGAGCATGTCTATAATAAAATTAAACAAGAATGGAGAAAGTGGACATCCCTGACGGACACCACTTGAAGTAGAGAATTCCGGTGACAGTTCGCCATAAGCCCTCACCCGACCAGTGGTGTTCGAGTAGAGAGCTTGTATAAGGTTAATGTACTTCTGTGGTACACCTTTCAATGACAGACACTGCCACAGAACCTTACGATCAACAGAGTCAAATGCCGCCTTAAGGTCTAGGAAAACAACTATTGTAGGACGCCTAAATGTGTGTCTATGTTCCAGGACCTGCCTGAGTGTGAAGACGTGGTCTATACAGCCACGTCCAGGTCGAAAACCAGCCTGGTTTTCTCGAGTTTGCTCTTCACGAGCTTTCGTTAAGCGTCGAAGTATTACTGAGGCCAATATTTTAGATACTATATTAGTTAGACTTATTCCCCTGTGATTGTCACAAGAAGACTTCTGTCCTTTCTTATAGATTGGGACAATCAGTGATTGGGACCAGTCGGATGGGATTACGTCCAGTTCCCAGATTCTACCTAAGATCTCAGTCAATCTAGCTGCTAAAACTGGACCACCATCCTTAAATATCTCAGGGGTCAGTCTATCAGGACCTGCAGCTCGTCCTCGCTTCAGATTTCCTAACGCTTTTTCAACTTCATTAAGACTAGGGGGACTTATGTCGATTTGCCATTCAGGATGACTGCATATCGTGGGTAACCGAAGAGTGGCTCGTGGCCAGTTGAACTGATCCCTAAAGTGTTCTGCCCATCGATCCAGTCTCCTGGATTGCGAATAAATGATACAACCATCCTTTTCCGAGATAGTCTCACTTACACTATGATTCCTAATACCAGTTTCTTTAATAAGGCGGAAAAGTTGTCTAGTGTTGCCTATCGCCGCTGCCTTTTCCATCGCTTTTGCTTTCGCCACCCACCACTGTTCGCGGTCGTTACGTAGGCTTTTTATCAGTCTGCGCCTAAGCTGACTACGCTCTTCATCATGTTCAGAGTCAGGTGGGATGCGTTTTCGAGCATCCATCAGTTCGGTGGATGCTACTGAGATCCACGGTTTCATCCTAGCCTCATGGTTTACCTTGCTAGCAGATATCACTGCTGTTTCCACAGCCTTTTTGATATCATACCAACCTGTTTCTGGATGGGAATCGCTTAAATGGTCGCCTAACTGTCTTTCTAGTTGCTCCTGAAATATTTTCTTGGTTTGATTATCATTAAGTAAAACCCTGAGAGGCTTTCTTACGGTGTCTTTCCTACGTCCAGTAAGCCTTAAACAGATACGAGCTCGCACTAGAGCATGATCTGAATCCAAACATGTGCTCCAGAACGAGCGACAATCTTCTATCGAACCCCTCCATCGGTGGCTGATGGCGATGTGATCTAGTTGAGTCCAACGTTGAGACGACTTCGGCGGTCGCCAGGTCAACAGATGCTTTTCCTTATGCCTAAAGTTGGTGTTCGCTAAGAATAGGCGGTTATCTGAGCATAGTTGCAACAGGCGGTCGCCATTGTCTGTTCTCTCAGTCGCTACACCATAACATCCACCAAGATGTCTTTCCTTTTCACCTAGTCTACCTACTTGAGCATTAAAGTCACCAGCCATTATTACTATGTCAGAGCGCTTAGCTTTTTGGAGGAGGTCCGAAAGCTTTCTGTAAAACTCATCCTTAACCTCGTCTGCACTGCAGTCAGTGGGGGCATAGGCAGATATGACGAAGAGGCAACGGCGAGTGTCCCTATCCTTCCGAGTCCTTACTGTCCCGTTTAGTCGGACAGCGCACAAACGACTATCTACTGGGATCCAGTCTAGGAGAGATAATTCTGCCCTAGGACTCAACGCTATGCCTACGCCAGCAAGACCCCTGGAAGCAGCATCAGGGCTACCGGATACACGAAGAGTAAATCGAACTGCTTCTTCGTTTTGACAAGGTGGAATCAGGTTAATGACTTTACTAGGATCCTGTATGCGCGTTTCCGAGACGCAGCATACATCGATGGCACGAGATTCTAAAGTCCTAGCTAATGATGCCTGTTGCCCTATTTGACACAATGTCCGTACATTAAAAGCTCCAACATGTAGTCTAGAACGGGGTTTCAAGAGACCAGAAACGACGTTTCGTGATCTCGCTTCGTCTGCATTAGCGGTGCAGTGAGAAAAGGGAGTGTGAGTACAGTTAGTCGTAGAGATAAGAGAGACATGAGGGGGTGTAGGAAGGATTTGATTTTGACCAATTTGGTCTCGCGTGCTAGTACGGGTATGAGGGCGGTAGTCACTTCCCGGCTGCCCACACCGTGGAAGGTTGTTTCTTGAGGGACCTGAAAAGGAAGATGGATTAGTGTTGGTGCGTGACCGCAGAGTCCAAGGGACAACTGCTTCAGGCCGGTCACGCACGGCCTTTTTATGAAACGTTTTTTGAGGATTAGCTCCGTTCTTAAAGGCCCTTAGTGGGCACCCTTACCCAAGGAGACGGAAATCCGTGAGTTAGGGGGAGTGTGACATTTTTAGGGCCGACCTTTTCTAACCCTTCCTTCCTTGTGAGAAGGCAGCATCGCTGCAGATGCTGGTTGTCCGAGGGAAACACCTTACTGCTGTCACACCCCTCTGCAATCCTCGGATAGGGGATCGTAGACTCTTTAGTATCTGATTACTGCTAGATTTCACAGTTCTGTATACTACTCTAACTGAAGACTTCATTACTACTGCCAAGATGGCAATGATAAATTCAAGATCCCAGAGAGAGCCTTCGGTGTGCACCGTTGAGGAATCGGCTCCAGATTAGGACGAAACAGATTTCTAGTCCTTCCTAGTTTTTGATAGTTGTCTAAGATTAGTACGTGGTGTTTATTAAAAAAATTAACCAATATCAGCAACAGAACATACCTCATGGCAAATTTCATCCCACTTAGCCTGTAAAAGCACAGCAGCATCCAATATAATAACTGGACGTTTAGGATTCCGATCTTGTGCTAAAGCCTTACATTCTATATCTTTAACAATTGTTAGAATCTTTTTAAATATTTCAGGCCAAACTATTGAATTTAGATTTTTCAGTTGAGCAGGATCAGAAAAAACCAAATTTCCCAATAAACGTCTATCTATTGGATAGGGTGGTTCTGGAGAAGCAATTTTTTCTCGTCCAAAATGAGACAAAAGTGCTTGGTGACAAGGTGTACCAGGACTGTAAATTCAATTGAAAAAAAAGCAACGAATATTTCGTATCGTTAACAAAAAAGGTAACTAAGTAGAACACACTGTTACTTCAAGATAGAGTACTTATGTGAACCTCTTCAGCGAAATTAATAAACCCACAAAAAAAATATAGGAACAAACACCTGAAACAAAAACTTTCTGTAAAACTCATCTTTTACCTGGGTCTGAGCTGACGGTCAGTGGGAGCGTAGGCTGTAGTTGACTCACTGACCTGAAACAGAAGGCCTCAATGGACTTCAATATAGAAAATATACATTCTTAATAAATCATCATGCTGATAAACAATTGAACAATGTGAAATTTTTACCCACTTCAGGATCGAAATAATAAGTATTGGGTCTTGCAACGAGCAAACCACTATTCAATCATCAAACAAAACCTAATAGGCAATATTTTACACGTTCTACGAACCTAGCTAAACATACCTATTTAACAATAAGTAATGGTACTGAGTGATATGATATTGGCATCGTTAAGCTGTAAACAGCCTTTCAACTCACTAATTCTTAGCTAACAGAAGAAAGAATTTCTAGCTTCACCACTTTTGAGTACAGTAATACTGGTAGAAACTTCCGAGCAGACTGACATCCTGATTTTAAGTTTAAACAGGTTATGATTACCATTCACTGGTATAAGGGATATCTATTGAGAAATGTATCACTTTAATAAACACATCTTATTATTGATGTATTTCACTGACTAAACACATTATCTTAAAATTATGAAAAATGTTGTGAAGTGGATCTGTATACCTACCTACCTACCTATAAATTTGAAATTAATTGTAAATGGATCAAGTGTAAATTAGTCCATTAAGTTTCCCTAACATCATCATCAATAAACTTCACAATTTAATATTTTCTAATTAAAAAAAAAACACAAACCTAAAATATCAATAGATGTCCATTGAAGAGAAAAAAATCATTTCATTCAATATACATACATACAATCAATCAATGATCAATTAAATCAAATTAGTTCATGATAGTAAAATTGATTTTATTATCTCATTGAATTCAGTAAATTAGCGTTAAAAATATTTTAACATTTTCATACAACTCTATAATCAAGCATGCATTTACGTACTGAATTATTGAATGATATTTTATGCAATGGTTGGTTAGACTATTTAATTGAAGAGGTGATGAGGTTATTCACAATGCTGTCAATGTTCACTAAGTGTAATGTATCCATCCAACAGCTTTCGACCAATTTTGCATATTTATTTAGTAGGTAGGTACTGTATATTGATGATGTAAAAGTTAGATCTTTAAATGAAATCTCCATTGAAAATTACACTCTAGTATGTAACATTCAAACGCTAAATATACCGAGTACGATAAACTCGGCGAACGAACATTGAAGATAACTTTAATCTTTGATTGATCATATTCAAGTAGGGTAGAGCGTAGTTTGAATTTAAGTGATACTTATTTACCATAACTACATACCCAGAAAAACACAACTTTAGTAGTAATAGCTATTAAGACCAAAAAATTACATACTCTGATTACAAACGAAACTTAAGTTATTATGAAGAATAAGAATTTATTGCATCTGGTTGTTTTATCTTCAGCTACACATACAATAAATACAATCATGGATAAATATACATAGTTTAGACTGTAATACACCATGAATCTTCCCAACCACTTGTTTAGATATCTAAAGTTTAAACTCCTGCATTATTATTACTAGCACATAAATTATACAACATGGTGTAGATAGAGTATTATTGTTACTATTATTATTACTACACGGAAAAAAAACTTGGAACAACAGCACCAAGAAATATGCATCACACAAAATAAAATAACAACTACCAAGTAAAAAAATAGTATGGAAAATATCATAAAATTACCGAGTAAATACCTTCAAAAGGCAACATTTATTCATGAAGAATGTTGTTAAAAAACAGAACTGCTAGAGGCTAGTACATCAGTCAGTCAGTTGCAACGTAGAACTACGTACGTATGTACATAAGTTCATGTTGCCATACCACATTAGCACAGAGACACAAATGTCAAATTAAATCCCATAGTGATAAAGATAGTAGAGGTATTAATGGTAATGAAGAAGACTAGGGTTTGAAGATATTATTCAAGAAGTATAATTCAGTGAGATAAGGTTAGAAAGACAAATGTAGAGGTGCTGACGAATCCAGAAGATTAAGATTTGAGATAGTTCAAGGAATAGATGCACCGGCGCCATTGAAAACGATTTCAAGCCATGTCGTTCAAGGTCTCCTCTAAACATTGGTGACTCGTTTCGCAGACCCCAACGTAGTCTGCATCTACCAACATGACTCAGTCCACTTGTCAGTAACTTCATGGATTTCTGACATGTTTTAGTTTGGCCGTCCCTAGCTTTCTTCCAACCTACTCCAACACCACAAAACATAGCTCGTCGTGGCAGTCAGTGGTTGGGCATTCGTAACACATGTCCCAACCACCTCAACTGATGAAGTTTCACCACTTCATCTATTGATCTGCCATCCTTACGTAGTACTCATTTCCTAACGACAGTATTGCTTACTCGGTAGAGGCTAGTACATAATACACAACTGGGATGATTCAATATAATTATTCAAAAATTATGGACTGCTAATTAAATAATCACCAATTTGCTTCGTTTGCTTGGTCCCAATCTCGGTAAATGATGCTCAGGACGGAAGCCTATTATTAGACAGCAGGCATGAAATATGACTTAACTAGCAAACCATATATTTTAAGAAGGATGCATTCACTTAATGACGATCTTAACAATTCCTAACATATAATGTTGAACCTCAGCATTTGAGCGATTCCCCAGAATCTAACACAAAATCCTCAGAGAAGGTATGCTACACAAACACAAAGCGAAACCTTCGGTGCTGTATACTTGATGTTTGTCAGATAAGACATCGTGACGGTGTCAAAGGTCACCAGGACTAAACAAATCAATTTTAGTTTTATCTATGTACGACCTAATCACATTACCTCAAGCAATCAAAAATCCATTCAGATGTAAAAACGTCCCAACTTCTGATAGTACACGACTAAAATGTACGTAGATATTATGTTTGGTATCTACTGAGATGCTTCGTTACGATAAAACAGACAGTAAGAGGTTTACCAAAAAGAAAAACTAATCTAACAATTACCAAAGATTCGAAACCTAAAGATTTTAATTAAATTTAGGAACTTTCTAAATTATCGATAGTTTCAAACCAGTAAGAATTGGCATAATGTAATCAAAGAATATCTGTTGTGAAACATATATACATTAAGTTTTTCTAATATTGTAGTACTAGAAAGTCTTTAAATCATTCAAAATTAATATAATTTGCAAAAACTTACGTATATGCTTCATGACCGAGACGATCACAATCGATTACATGAATTTGATCGCTTAAATGTTCAAGTCGTTTGGCCAATGATGATTTACCCGAACCAGATGGTCCTGTTAAGCCAATTAAATATGGACTACATGGAGAACTATTTACAGTTACGTTATTAACAGGTTTTAACAGACTACCAAGTTCATCAAATCGACGTTTTGAAGAACATAACTTACAATCCGACAATTCAATAGGATATGCCTGGAGTCCATTGGAGATCCTGTTGAAAAATCAAGTGAATACTATTAAAGAATAACAAAAATAGTGTAACACAGAATGAACATTTCTAATAGATTAAAATCAATCTATATGATATAAATTATGCAACAAACAATGGCACCTGCAATGGCATGTAAGTGCATTCATTCTTTGTGTTCACTTAAATCCTAACCTTCAGAGTTCCTCATCACCGATATCTTTTTCTTTTTAAGTTTATTTCACTAGATTCTACTTCTTGAATAATATCGTCGAACCTTAATCTCTCCGATTATTGCTTATACTATTACTACCTCTACTACTACTATGGGATTTGAATTGACAATTGCATCTCTGTGCCAATGTGGTATGGCAACTTGGACTGATGTACGTACGTACGTACGAAGTTCTATGTTGCTGTTGATTGATTGATTAACTGATTGATGCATCAAACAAATGACTAAAATAAACCAAAATTATATCAATAAAGAATGCACTGTACAAACAGATGAAATGGAAAAGTTCACTCGTGATAGATACAAGTTTAACGTGATTATAGTTAATACTTTACCTAAAAATAGATTAACTTAATCAATAAAAAGTGAAATATACCACTTTCTAAAAAGGAGTTATAAATGATGTCCTCTACGTACGTGCAATATTCAAGCTTAGATCAATAAAACAATTTTTAAAATGTCAGTGACACTTCAGTGGAGAAAATGTTCCATAGGATAATGGCATTTTCTTAAACTGTATAATCGTAATTACATATAATTTTACCATGTATATTCTATAATGAAAAATAATATCTAACTGTAAGCTAATAAACGTTATCGAAAATATAAAAACCATGTCAAACAGAAAATTAATACAATCGTAATAGTCACAGACATAAAATAATTTATATTTACTGCTTAGCCTTAAATAGATCAGTCTGTTTGGGAAAATTACCGATTTCAAAAAAACGATACATTATTGATGCAGAAATTCATACTTACTTATTAGGCAGCAATAACATTTCCTATGCGATATACGATGCGTACTTAGTGAGAAAGTTATTACATAGCTATTTTTATCGAGTGACTGGACTATTGTGAATAAATTGATTAAAATCATCAGTCAGTGATTGTTAGACCATCATTAGAAACCTGGAAGGACAGTCGTTTCGTCCTGGTGTAGGACTCGTCAGCAGTGCGCATCCATGACTCCTGCACCTCGCGGGATTCGAACCCAGGACATTCGGTCTTGCGCGTGAAAGCCTAACCTCTGGACTACTGGGCCGGCATCCAACGGTATTAGTGTCTAACTCTGATCAATCTAGAGATTTTGTGCGACCTCACCTATTTGTCTTCGGTAGTTACTGCCTATAATCGATAGGGTTGAACTCCACTGGTCACGTCTTCTCACTAGAACCCCGAGAATTCCCTCACAAAGCTACCCACTGGTGAGCACGTTTTACGATTTTTTTCAATCAGATTTATAGAGATTAGTGTATTTACACACTGAAATCATCATTGATATCTACAATAAAAAGTATTATTTTACAGAACCCGTAACTACATATCGTAACCATGACACTTCATACGCAGGTCATCCTCAGCGTTCCTTGCAAAACAGACAAGATGACTCAATGTGCTGCATCTCGAACATCCCACCCATTCACTAGAACAATTTTCGACGCTAGGCAGTTGTAACAAATAACACCCAGCGCCAATATCAACATTTACATCATCGGATTCTTCACTAGGCTCAGGGATTTCATTATTCGCTTGCATATACACATTCGCTTCAGGCCTTTCTTCACTGCCATCACTAGATATAGTAGCATACAGACCTACATTTCTGAAAGCATCATTTCTACCACTGAACTGTTCTATTTCTTGGTCCACATGAATGAATAACGTTTCGCTCGGGCTGTTATATCGAGGGTTAGTTGCATTAAATGAAGTGTGAATGAAATTCAGGGACTGGACCTTGACCAACGGGTACAGCGATGCAATGAGATAATACGTGTAACATCATTTCTAGTTGACTGTCGTTGGACTACCGTGTTTGGTATTCACTGTAGTAATCCATCATTGTTTTGCTTCTGGATTTAGTGATAATTTAAACCCATAAGCAAGTACGAGAAGCTATAAAGCTAAATTACTATGTAGTTGATCAGTGATCCTAACATTTTAAACATGGTTATTTCTGTTCTAATATTAGCCGACCTAACAGTTCAGAGTAATTATTTAGTTGTGGAGTCGAAGTACTTTAAAGTAGACAACAGTTAAAATGTTGAATGCGTATAGAACGCATGCGATGATTTCAGTAAAATCAAGTTTTTCGTTTACATATCTATCTCATAAAATATGTCTTGAACCGACAAGTTTATTCCCCATTAAATCAATAAAGCATTTAACCATTGCAGTGTGCAGATTTTCTGTCGGTGCACTTCTTCAGCGAATATCTATTCTGCTCGTTTTACCTGAGTTCAATAATAAAGCTTCAAATTGTGATATCAGACAACAGGCTATCACGAAAAAGGGCTAAAAACCTTAAAATAAGCTCCAATGTCTCTCGAGCTAAAAATTCAAAGGTTACTGACATAACCTTTATAGATAAATCCAATGCCGCGAACTAGTAAAGTTGCGTTTCTTATCGATTACATTTATACGTGTAGTCAATTTCGATTATGTATGCGAAGCGCCAAACTATGTTCTTCTGACCTGTACAGAAGGAATAGGACTGAATGTGACCGTCTACACCACGCTGAATCCGCACTCACCTCCCGTACGTTTCGTAAACGAAATCGGTTACAACAAAGGCTACAGCTTCAGACAGCAGTAAAGGTCGAATAAACCTACGATTAGAACCATCTAAAGGAAACTATCTATCATCCATGGGACTTAACCAATCAAATTGCAACAAGAAAGGGTGGGTGCTAGTTCAAGTGACTACATAATTTGTTCGGATCACAGTAAAAAAAGGTTGAGTAAATAACACCAGTAACTTTTAAAAAAATTAAAAGGGTCGAGATTTCTAAATTTTACTCACCACTATGATTTACACAACTTAAGACGGGAAGCATACACAATGAATGAGGATTTATTATATACCAAACAAACCAAAGCTATTACCGAGTTTATACTGGTTTTTACATCTGTCAGCCAGTCAGCTATAACGTAGAACTTCGTACATAAGTACATCAGTCCAGGTTGCCATACCACATCAGCACAGAGGCCAACTGTCAGTTCAAATCCAGGAGTGATAGCGATAGTAAAAGTATTAGCAGTAATGGAGAAGATTAGGAAGCGAAGATATGATTCAAAAAGTATAATTCAGTGAGATAACTTTAGAAAGATAGAGATGATGAGGAATTCAGGAGGTTAGAATTTGAGAGAACACAAAGAGTGGATGCACCTGCGCCATTGTAAACGATTCTGAGCCATGTCATTCAAGGTCTCTAACCATCGATGACGTTCATCTCGTGGACCCCAACCAGTTAGTCGACATCTATCAACATGACTCAGTCCATTGGTCAGAGACTTCATGGATTTCTGACATGTTTTAGTTTGGCCGCCCCTAGTTTTCTTCCAACCTACTCCTACACCACAAAACATAGCTCGTCGAGGCAGTCGGTGGTCGGGCATTCGTAATACATGTCCCAACCACCTCAAATGATGAAGTTTCACTGCTTCATCTACTGATTTGCCATCCCTACCTAGAACTCGTTTCCTAAAGACAGCATTGCTGATACGGTTGTCCCAGGATACACGAGCAAAGCTTCAAAGGCATCTATGATCAAACTTCAGTAACCTACGAATATTTTCTATCTTTAACGACCACAGCCGTAAAATAAAAGAGAGGATCGCCGCGCAGTGTACATATCTCATGAGTCACTTGAATTAATAATTTTCGATCTAACAATGAAAGGTTGAATCAGTCTTTTACGTAAATAACAATTTTCTTGAAATGGATAAATTTAAGTGAAATATAAAAACATAATGATTTACAAGAAAATTCCAAAATAAAAAAAGTATGAGCTACAAAGAAAGACACTAAGCTTGTTATATCTCTTCGAAAATTCACATGCAACTTAGTTCACAACCATACCTACAAACACACACACAAAAATTCCATTATTCAGTCACGCTGACAATCATACATCTACTCACACTCACCAGTATATGCACCAAAATACTTAAGATAAACATGTGCCTATCGATCATTGTATGATTATGAACAGATTATTTTTATCTCAATTAAACTACAGGAAACTTAGCGAATAAGTACAGATTTAGAAATTGAAATTGGTTGAAGTGATTCTATATTTTGCAAAGACTGTCCGTACTAATTGGTTAACTAAATAGGGAGAGAATGAACAAGGATTTGAATCTACAATGTATGTTTACGATTACATGCACTGTATTATAAGTTTCAAGTAGTAACAAATTAGGTATTTTCTTCTCCCTGACTGTAAGACATGTTGTTCAATGAGGAACAGAGAGTAAGTTGATCTCATGTGCCGTTATGGGTATAAGGTAGAACCCAAAACCTTCATTATCGTGCGTAAACACTTAACCTTCAGACCAATGAGCGAGGATCTAATGGTGTACCAGTTTAAGCACAATCAATCCAATATAAATTTACTATCGATATTCATTCACTGTTATACATATTCGGACAAGACTTCTTTTTCTATCATGTCATAAGTATTCAAAAAAAGCATATATGGCTAAAACAGAACCTTGAAATAAGTATATTAAACAACTGAAAACAAAAATACATTTACATTGTTCGAGGGAATTATGTTTGAAATAATCTCAGCCATTGAAATTTTACGTAATTCTAACGTTCGGTGTAGAGTTATCTTGTTTTTGACTTATTCAGGGCAAAACACAACAAATATTATTTTTTTATAAATAATCTATTCCATATACTTGACGTCCGAATTCTATCAAACCATTTGTTCAAAAGTACATTTTACGTCAATTTCTAGTCGGTTAAAAAAAAGTCGCAAAGAAAATATACCTGAAATGTATGTTTAACTTACTTATCTACATATATGAAATCGATTATTTCAATTTTTAACGGCTTAAATCCACTTGCACATCGTAATTCATTCAGTTTTGTACAATTCTATTATTAGTGATATGAAGAAGAAAAATCTACAAGATAATATTATTGAGGTTTTTATAACTAATTAATTAAACATGTGTAGATGTTTGATTACAAGGTTGATTAATTTGTAAAAGTTTAGGTTAAGAGTGATTAATGCACTAACTGAGACACTAGCTAGAAAGCTATTGGGAAATAGACAAACAGACAGATACAACACAGAACTTCTTACGTAAGTACATCAGTTCAGGTTGCCATACCACATCAGCACAGAGACGCAACTGTCAATCCAAATCCAAGAGTGATAGTGATAGTAGAAGTATTAGCATTAATGGAGAAGATCAGGGAGCGAAGATATGATTCGAGAAGTATAATTCAGTGAGATAACTTTATAAAAAAAAGATTGCCGTTCAAGGTCTCCTCCAAACATTGGTGACTTTCGTCTCGCGGAACCCAACCCAGTAGCCTACATCTACCAACATGACTCAGTCCACTTGTCGGTGACTTCAAGCATTTCTGCCATGTTTTAGTTTGGCCGCCCCTAACTTTCTTCCAACCTACTCCTACACCACAAAACATAGCTCGTCGAGGCAGTCGGTGGTTAGATATACGTAACATATGTCCCAACAACCTCAACTGATGAAGTTTCAACACTTCATCTATTGATCTGCCATCCCTACCTAGAACTCGTTTCCTAACGACAGCATTGCTTATACGGTCGTCCCAGGATACACGAGCAATGCTTCGGAGACATCGATGATCGAAGTCCTCTACTCTTAACGGCCAAGTCTCGCATCCGTACAGTAGGACGGAGCGAAATGCTGCACGGTACACTTGTCCTTTGATTAGCAAGCGGATATCTCGCCTGCGCCGTAGATGACGCAAGTTGGCAAAAGCCAACCGAGCCTTCTGTATCCGTGATGAGATTTCGTCAGTCACCAGACCATTAGCACTGATGAGACTCCCCAGACACTTGAAGTGGTCTACACGTTCGACTCCCACTCCCTATAAATTGGGAAATAAGAAAAACTGAACAATTGTTTCATCATACTAGTTGAGACTCCTTAACAATAAATAACCACAACCCTTCTAACAGAATTGATCTCAAGACCATCAAGTCTTGTGGTGAGTATATACTGTCTTTATATCAATGATTCTGAAGCATCCATTAACATGTTCGTTATTAGACATTGAAGCTGAGTGATTTGTAAAGGATGAACACTAATGAAAAGTATCAAACCAATAAAAAAAAGCATTTGTTCAGCTCCCCTTTATTTCCAATAGATTTTTTTAGCTGATGTTAATTACTAACGTTAGTTGTTTTTCAAAAAAAGTTGTCCTCAATTTCTAACATTTTACTTTCGTAACTGAATATGGACTAAACTACATTATTCAATAAAAACTACAGATTTCATTTACAATCATTATTATTAATACTAATGTTATTAGTCAAAAAAATATTATTAAGTTTGATTGTTCAGACATTTTCTCACTAGCAAGAATATATTTTTAAACGATGAACTATCCCTCCTGAACGTCAACAAAAAACCCCTAGCATGATGAAAATATCAACTTATTTTTAAATTTGACAAACTGAGTTTCTTATATGTTTATGATAAAACTAAAGAAACACTCAGAAATTCATGAAATTTCGACGACTATATGCAGAGATAACACAATGAAGAAATAAACTGTATCAAATAGGTCAGACATTTTTCAGTAAGCGTTGTGAAGACTGTATGAATGATGAAAAGCCAAGGCAACCGTCAACAACTTAGATTGATACAAACATAGAAAGCATTAGATCTTCTGAACTTTTCAGTCAATGATTTATTTTCTGGAAGATCGCCGATCAACAGAAATGGAGATTATCCTTCATGTGCATGATTCTGGCAAAACATGAAAATTTTATTTGTAACCATGAATCGATCAATGTTAGACCACCATTAGAAACCTGGAAGCACTGGACGGCCGTTTCGTCCTGGTATGGGACTCATCAGCAGTCCAGTGCTTCCAGGTTTCTAATGGTGGTCTAACATGGTTACAAATAAAACTTAACAATCTTCACAACAACCCCGCAATGCAATGACATGTGTCCACTAGTGACTAGCTTGATGAGGAATCTTCTCCGAGTTCTAGTGGGAAGTCGCGACCAGTGAAGTTCAAACCTGTCCGGATGTATACAGGGTATGAGGTTGCGCAACTCCGTGGATTTGATCAAGTTAGACATTAACACCGTTAGATACCGGCTCAGTGGTCTAACGGTTAGGGCGTTCGCGCACAATACCGAAGGTCCTGGGTTCGAATCCTGTGAGGAGCAGGAGTCGTGGATGCGCACTGCTGATGAGTCCCATACCAGGACGAAACGGCCGTCCAGTGCTTCCAGGTTTCTAATGGTGGTCTAACATTGATCGATTCATGGTTACAAATAAAACTTAACAATCTTCACAACAACCCCGCAAAACATGAAAATGATTCTTTCTCCTTACGATGTTAGAGAAACGATCTGAACAAGAGGAAAAAAGATGAGGAGTGTCTTAACACAAAAGTGGAAGTATTTTGAAGGGAATGAGATCGATGCATCTTAATATCTGTTAAAGTATTTATTGTTAGGAATAAAACATTCTTTCACACACTTTTTATCTGGTACCTCAGTCAGTCAGTCAGATGCAACGTAGAACTTCGTACGTAAGTACATCAGTTCATGTCGCCATACCACATTAGCACAGAGAAGTAATTGTCAATTCAAATCCAATAGTAGAAGAGGTAGTAAGGGAATTAGAAGTAATCGGAGAGGTTAGGATTAGAAGATACTATTCAAGAAGTATGATTCAGTGAGAAAAGTTTAGAGAGTCGAAACTAGAGGTGTTGAAGAATCCAGAAGATTAGGATTTGAGAGAACACAAAGAATAAATGCACCGGCGCCATTGCGAACGATTTTGAGCCATGTCATCCAGCGTCTCTAACCATCGATGATTATCATCTCGCGGACCCCAACCAGGCAGTCGACAATTACCGACATGACTCAGTCCACTAGTCAATGACTTCATGTATTTCTGCCATGTTTTGGTTTGGCCGCTCCTATCTTTCTTCCAGTCTACTCCTACACTACAAAACAAAGTTCGTCGAGGCAGTCGGTGGTTCGGCATACGCAACACATGTCCCAACCACCTCAACTGATGAAGTTTCAACACTTCATCTATTGATCTGCCATCCTTACCTAGCACCCGTTTCCTAATAACAGCGTTGCTCACTTGGTTGTCCCACGGTATACGAGCAATGCTTCGAAGACACCTATGATCGAAAACCAGTAACCTACGAATATCTTCTACTCTCACTGGTACCTGATAAATATTAGAACATAAATGAGCAATGGAAAATTAATTCCATTATAATCCACTATTTTCTTAGCTGAAAACATCATAAAATTAAATCACAGGAACAATGAATAGGCACGCGTAAAATATTTCGGAGTACTTATTTAATTTTTTTTTCAACTAAATATCATTTTCTAATAATTAAACATAACTCACATCTAAAGAATCAGGACTGGCTACAATACAGTCAAAGTCTGCAGAACGTATAGTTGGACCAAATTTATCGAATAATTTAACAATTCCCATAGCTTTAGATTGTATGCCTATATCATTGAGAAAAGTTTGAACATTTTTAACACGTTTCTCCCACGAAAATATTAATGGACTAAGGCATTTGTTTGGAAGTAAATCAGAGCATGTTACACCAACAAGTAAATATTCTTTAGCCAATAAAGCACCAACAGTAAGCAGAATTTTGTGTCCATAGTGAAACCGATCAAAAGTGCCGCCAAGACATACACGGGAGACATCGTCATACGATTTGTCTGATAATATACTAGTAATCTGGTCATCAGAAATTGATGGATCTGACTCCAAATTATCTATACAATTGAAAAACGATGATTTATGCACAAATATAGATAGCAAAAAATAAGAAATCATGTGTAAATGCCATAAAGTATGATGGAATCTGATATTTTGGAAAAATTAGGTAGTATACTCTAACCTGATTACAGTTAGGTATATTATACAACATCTGATGTATCGAGATGGTGATGAGACTTTCAGTTTGCCACATGCGTTAAGACAACTCGATTGTTCGAAAAACCGCCACATACATTCTGCAAAACAATTTTGGATAAGCCACCTATTCAATATGTCTTGAGAGGTTTTAACAACCGTAGCTGTCACCTTGACGTGATGGTCGTGCTTGCCTATCATGATGACCCAACTGAGCTATATTGGCTGGAAAACCAGTCCCTTTAAGTCCTACCATGACAGGTGAGTCGAGTGAATAACAGTAAGACTAAAAGCAGCGACTTAAAGTTTAAGGGCGAACTGTAGAAGAGTGCAACAGCAGTAAGTGTTTTCCTCGGACATCCGACATCTACAGCGATGCTGAACTGATGGATACTTGGTAACTCATTTCGTCTGCCTCTGAACACGATAAGTGGATAAATTTCCTAAATAAGTCCCCATACTGTTATACACGGTTTAAGCAGGGCCATAGTCAAAACAGGTAACTATATGTAGCCAATAATTATAATGTTTCTAAGACGTAAATTAACACAATTAGTACAAAAGTGAAAAACAATACAGACAATTACAAAAGAAACAATAAAAAAGCTCCTAACAAACAGTAGCAGAGATAAAACAAAATCAATCAACGAAGGGTTAATCACATTTAACCCAAAGGCTGATTTAATTTCATGACTAGTAATCAAATAAAATGGATGATAACGACAACCAGTCTTAGATTAACTGTTTTAATTGATAAGTATTTAATTCAAATTGTGTTAATTGATTGAAATCGATTGAAATTTACAACCATACTATCAAATTTGTGAAATCAGCGATGGTTGTGCCGGAAGATGGTGCCAGACAGAAACAAAGTGCAGTGTGTAAAGGGCTACAGGTGACTTCTTTTATCTTACCTATGACCACTGAAACCACACTACCTAAGTGAGTCCCCCGTTTGTACGCTCAACTTTTGGAGTGCAACAACGTCAGATGCAGCTCTATTGTGGCCGGTGACTACAATAAGAATCGTACGCCATTTGGTCCCTTAGGATAGTGATTTCTATGTATGCCAACAATTTCGAAACAAGATCTTGCAACTCCCCAGGAAAAACCCTCCATACTCACAAATACGGTTAAGGAGCCAGGCGTCTGCATTTCTGCTATAGTAAGAAACAACTCTCACCATGTGAATGTAGTGAGTATAACTTGCTGTACAAAGGTAGTGAGTACAACTCTGAATCAGTCAGTCAGTTGCAACGTAGAACTACGTACGTATGTACATAAGTTCATGTTGCCATACCACATTAGCACAAAGACGCAGATGTCAAATCAAATCCCATAGTGATAAAAATAGTAGAGGTATGGTGCGCGCTACTTATAAGTAGTATATGTCGCGAGTGAAAACGTAATGTCTGGCAGCAGAAGATGAGGGAAGATCAAGAAAGGAAAAGTGGTAACACAATGGAATTTGTATGAAACGCATGAATAGTGAAATGTCAGACAATGGATTGATGATGGATTGAAGATTTGCAAATTAACGGTTACCTATTTTACTGAGTAACTCCATAATTTTCGTTAAATACAATTCGGTTGCCCTCACCTGTGTTCTCCTTCACTACAGAGGTATTAATGGTAATGAAGAAGACTAGGGTTCGAAGATATTATTCAAGAAGTATAATTAAATGAAATAAGGTTAGAATGACAAAGGTAGAGGTGTTGACGAATCCAGGAGATTAGGATTTGAGATAGCTCAAAGAATGGATGTACTTGCGCCATTGCAAACGATTTTGAGACATGTCGTTCAAGGTCTCTAACCATTGGTGACTTTCGTCTCACGGAACCCAACCAAGTAGCCTACATCTACCAACATGACTCAGTCCACTTGTCAGTGGCTTCATGGATTTCTGCCGTGTTTTGACTTGGCCGCCCCTAGCTTTCTTCCAACCTACTCCTACACCACAAAACATAGCTCATCGAGGCAGTCGGTGGTTGGCCATACGTAACACACGTCCCAACCACCTCAACTGATGAAGTTTCACCACTTCAACTTTTGGATTTTTTTGCCGCATTATAGTTCAAAACGATAAAAGGAGGAAGGATCCCTTGGAATTTTTATCGTTTACAATCTCAAAACAATACCTGGAAGGAGAACCTTTGGATTACTTATCATTTGCTATTTTTAAACTGTATTTTGGGAAGGCGATCTTTTGGTCCTTTTGGATTTCTCATTACCGAAGTTTTACCGGTGAAAATTTTATATTTTGTCTTTGTTACTTCCTTTCCGTTGAATTCCAATTGATTGAGTTCTCGAAAGAAATCAAACACGAAGAGGGTTGAAGCCAATGAAGAATCCCGGAACGCAAGGCAAGTTGCTTATGATACTTCATGTTTAATGGGTTCACTCTCTACTAAGGATGATATTATGCTTAGTACTTATTGTTGTAAGTCACCATTAGAAAGTACTAAGGAACAAGGTTTGGACGAGAACTTTGAGGTACCTGGGAAAGTTTTGATGTCTAGGACACCAGTAGTTGGCTTAGAATTGCCAAAGGTTGAACTCCCCTTCTTCGATGGTAAACACCGTGATTAATTTAGGTTTGTCAAGCAATTTGAGACATTTATAGAACCTAGAGTTATTGATGATAATCTGCGCTTATTGTATTTAATCCACTATTGCAAGGGAAAGGCGAGAGATGCGATTGAAGGATGTCTTATAATGGAACCCCACGCGGGATATAAAAGGGCTAAGGCGATTCTAAAGCAGCTTTTCGGACAATCACACGTAATAGCTCGTGAAACCTTGGATGACTTGTTTAGATCTGGGAATGCTGATTACAACGACCCAGAGCAATTGTCGAATTTGGCAATTAAGATGCAGAAAGTGGCTCTGACTTTGAAACAGCTAAATTACACTGCGGAATTGAACTCCTTAGTAACATTAGAGAAAATGGTTTAGCTTTTACCTCATCGTATGCAAGTCCAGTGGGCAGAGCTGGGAATTAAATGGGACGAAGAGGAAAGAGAGCCTACATTTAATGAATTGACTGACTTTATTTTCTCTCGTGCTAGGGTAGCTAGTAGTAGATTTGGACGATTAGCTAATCGCACGAAAACAGGACATGATATGGAAGCGACTAGTTATCTGCGTGCGAGACATGGGAATTCTTCAAATGTGTTTGCACCTACCTCACGCCCGGAACTTAAGAGAGTCGTTAATTGTATTAGCAAGGTATATCCTCTTGAAGACCGAGCATGTAACCCTGATGGTTTAAAATCCCTTGATGTGTATCCTAGTGAGAAGTCGGTATCTGTAGCAGATAAGGTGGCCTTTTTGAGGATGGCAAAGAAGGAAAAAGGCAGAAAGGGTAGGCATCAAGACGGATCCGAGATATGTGATGGTAGAAGCTTCTTAACTGCTCGAAATGCAAGGAACGGTAATTTGGATTCGAGCAAACAGAGGTTGATGAGTACAGTGAATATGAATAAGGACAAAACAGGTTTGACTGTATGGAATGAAGCTTATGTTCGGAACCCTTCACGTAGGGTAAATTATTTGACACGACCTAGAGTTGATCCTAGGACAACAAGCGTAAATAGTGACACAGCACTTCATGTTGCTGAGCAATCAGGATGTCTGCGGGCTACTGTATCTAGTTCTACAGAGCATCATGATATTGAAGCGGAAGATAATAGCAGCTTAGCGCGTCCTGCTGATGTTTGTTTACAGTCAACGGATGGACGGTTGTATACTAGTCCAAGTAGTCACAGCAACATCGATAGTGTTAGTGACATTTTCGAAGTAAGTGAACGAAGCGAAACCCACTAGTTAACTCAATAAGCTTGCAACTTAAGTATGTCAATATAATATGAGGACTACGACTGGCAGGAATACAAAACGATATTTCAAAAAGTAGCACATTATCTTACGTCACTAAAAGTAATGGAATTCAGTTTTAGGGAGCTGTGATTCGGTTTTATGAGCAATTTATTATGAACCAGTAGATGACAATTAAGTCCAATTTCCTAACTTATTTAACCAACCAGTTAATAATTAGTCACTGAAATAACATATTACCTAGTGTTTTGTAATAAGCTCAAATAATTAAAATAGTTGATACATCATGATACATTTTTCTTAACCTAAATTAGATAAAACCAGAAGTTCACTCGTAAAATACCTTCCCATTTAATATAAATATTAAAATATCTTGCCTTGGGTAGTGTATATAACATCGTCACCATAAAGGGGATCAATATTGTGAGCTTCATTTAAAATCCAGACACGACTAAATTCAGATTCTGATGAAATCACAATATCAAACTTTACTGAAGGTTTAATGTGTTTACTTGTAGGAAGAAGAAGACAAACATTTAGCGATGGGCAAACCTGTAAGATAAAATTACATTAGACATAAAAAACCAACCTTACATGCAGTTTTGTAACACAACGTAGCCATATTTTTCCAAAATATGAAATCGGAAGGACTTTGTGGGATTGATAAAAACAACTTTTTATTCACAATATTGTTAACATATTTCAATAAGGATGACAACTTTTGGGAGCCCACATGAGGTGATAAAATAAGTAAGCCAGATTGGTACATATTTAAAGGCGATGGGTGGTCCTAAAAAATAAAGGCAAACTTTATACTTCTGTTGCAATTACAAACTCTATTCAAATTTATTAGATAGAATATGACTAAACTCCAGAAACCATTCTGAGTAAAATGTCATACTTAAACAGAAAAAGAAATTACTGAGTAAAAACTCGAGTCATTAAACATGTAGACTATGAGTCTAGATATCAATTGCGGTAAGTATAGATTTAGATCAAGTGTATCTACGTCAACTCACACTTGAGATGGTGGAGAAAATTTGTAGCTCAGGTGGATGATCCAGCACAGAGAACGAAACATCATCACATCACACTTGCTCAGAAAATGTGTATCAGCAAATTTTAATCAGGATTCCGTACCTGAGACTCCTGAGAAGTTTTGACCAACGATAAAACAGTATGTATATAAGTAAATTACAATATCGAAAGGAAAGAATTAGTGAATGTTTTTTTTCTATGATCAATGAACTTTTCTATTGACGCTCGCTGTTAACTTCAAAGTATTTTAATCCCAACTCGATCCTAATGATCTTAATAATTCTAATCTTCACCGCAATCATAAAAACAAAGATCAACTCACTCCTAATCCTGATGCTTAACGTACCTCACCGAACCACAGGAAAAAGCTGTTACAGCTCAAATATAGCCAGGTATCTTGTGTACTAGGGGAGCATGCAGAGTAGCGTTAGTGGGGGCTCGAAAAGAGGACAAAAGAGGCGAAATGATGACCCAGAAAGGGCAAAAATTGCACCTGTATTTAATAAGGACAGTAGTCGGCAATAATCAGTAATCGCGCAAGCTTTAAACAGAGAATCTGGAAAGCGAAACTGAGTCGAAAAATTGAAGACTTAATAGCCACATAGCTGTAACTCCTGTCTTTGGCAAGTTTGTGTACAGCTTAATGGTACCTTGTGTGCTAGAGGAGTTTCAAGAGCAGTATGAGAGGTCATTTGGAATAGGGAAGAACAAGAGCAAATGTGAGCCGACGACTCAGTAAGTACATAGAATTCACCTACTTTTAATAGAGAAAACAATCGACAACAATCAGTAGTAGCACAATCATGGGATTAAGGCAAACTGACAATCGAAATTAGAAGCTGGTAGCGTCAAATTTCGAATGCATCACAAGAATTGGGATTGACGACGCGTCTCCACAACCCAACGACCTTGAACAACTCAAGCGACTGCGTCCATACACCAACCAATATCTTTTCACAAACTAGTATAAACCAACTGATTTGTTGACGCTGAATTCTTATTCTTTCGGTACGTACAATGACGTACAATAGATAGTAGCCTAGCCAATTGACAGTTATGAATTTTTATGTCCCGTGATTTGAGTTAGTATGTTTGTTTCATGGCAGGAAGGTTTCTGGATACCAGCAGCTATCATGTTGCCAGGTCAGGGATCACTTAGCTACAATGTGGAGAATCATAGACAGAAAAGTCTAGTGCCAATAAGATTTCAGAACTAATTAAATAAATAGATAGGCTAACTAGCTGGTAGTGAAATTATGTGAGAGTATACAGGTGTTAGCAAAGATGATAATCCGTATATGTGTACGTGTTTATCAAGTCTGTTCTTGAAGCTTTCCTATAAGAGGGTTGTCACTTCGGCTAGGAGGGTATTCCAAGTAAGAACAACTCTTAGTGAGAAAAGGCATGTACCAATCTGGCTTTTTGCCATTTGATGTGCAATTTTTGAGTGTTACCTGGAGCGGCGTGGTAGTGATGCTCGTGTTGGGAGAATTCCGCGTGCGTAATATGATATATGCCATTATTAGGTCACTTCTGATTCCCCTATAACTCAGAGGGAACAGTCCCAAATTTTGGATTCTATCTTCATAAGGTTTATTCAGGTATCCTATCACCCATTTGGTTACTTGTATCTGCACTCAACACAGGACATTTATGTCTCTTGGGCAGAGAGGATGTGACGACGTTCAAAGCTTTAAGATGTGGTCATGCGTATGTTTTAAGGAGAATTAAGAACGATTTGTGGGGTTATTGCAGCAAGTTGTGTTTGGCATAAACTGAACAATTGAGTTTGTTTTGGCTACATTCTCCATGTTGTTTAAAGGTGTACAGGATCTGTATGATTAATTCGCGGAGATAGTGCTCCTAGGAAGCATAAAGAGGCGGACTTTCTTCGAAGACATAAGTTGTTTCTGTCACGTGAGACAAAATGTTCCTGAGGTGACATTGCGACTGCTAAAGTTTTAGCCCGTTGTCCATTGCCCATGCTCCTACTGATGAAAGGTCACTGTGAAGCCTGGTTGAAACCTCCTCAAGATCTTTGCGTCTTCTGTGTAGACTAGTGCTGCCAAGCTCATTTTATCAAACAAGTCATTAATAAATATTAGAAAGAGGAGTGGACCTAAGGTAGTCCCCTGTGAAACTCGTGATCTTGCGACTTGCTAGCCAACATGCATTTCACGTACCTTGGTACGAAACTTCAAGTTCCTCAGTTAGTTTCTGAGCCAAGGTAGAAGTGGATCAGTGAAGGATATCTTCGTAAACTTTGCAATTAGGAGTATGTCAGGTGCTGTGTTGAATGCTTTTGCAAGGTCAAGGAGTATTATGTAAACCAGTATTCTTTGACCGCAACAGGTTGTCCAGCTGTCCCATGCTGTAAGAAGATGGGATACACACAATCTGCCCTTCCTAAGCCTGTGATGTACTTCAAGGTGGACGTTTTTCTTGCTTGCTGATTCGCCAGTACTTACATTACCTTAAACAGTATCCGTAGCAATGTGACTGGTCTGTAACAGGTTAGGTCTTTCCTATCACCTCCTTTGAAATTTGATGAGAGAGTAGCTAGTTTCCATTCAGCTATCAGTTGCTGTGATTTCAGTTAATACCTGAACTGGTTACAAAACAGTGAAATGAGAGCTTCTGAACACTTTCACATTTACAGGGCGAATATTGATGAACATGTCTCCCATAGCCTCCAACTCTGAGATTACATCTGTTTCTCAATACCAATTAAAAGCTATGGTCGGAATCCTTCAGGAAGACATTCCACATGTAGCAAGCTCTCCTTTTTGCCCTTAACAAGCGTCCAGTCCCTCGCTTAACCCATTCTCTTCTCTTTCCAGATGCTCGACCTGTATGCTCTTCATAACGTAGGACATGTAGAATCCATTTTGAAGGCTCTGTTTTAGTAAAATCCCTCCATGTACATATTTGTAATACGTCCTTACTGACTCTTGCTTTGCTACATTTTGCTACTCTGTTTAATCCCATTTTCGGATGTAAATATTCGTATTTTGTTATAGTTTATATTTTTGTACCTTTATTGAAGTGTCTATGTTTTCTACTGAATTGTATTACGTTGTTTAAATTGATACATAATTATGGCTTCAGACATACCGGATTTGATGCCCTGGTGGGTAAATGTACATCTGGACTGTTGTTCATTGATCATCTACTGCTATTCTTCACCAATCTCATGGTCATGTGGATATGTAGAATATGCTTTTCATGGTTGGGTAATTTGCCGTAGCGTGGAAAAGGCAGGATGCAATTTGCCCCCCCCACTGACTATTCTGTTTTGGCCATGTTATACATGACTGCACCGTGGTCACTACTTCCTACTAGTGTATGTACATAAACCTCCTAGGCTACGAGCAGGTCGTTTGTTAACAAAAACCTAGGTTTCAGGGTTTTCTATCTCCGCTCCATCTATAGACGTCACACACAAAAACAGTCATTGCGGAACTTCTAGTGACTGTAATGGATCGCTTTTGAAACCAACCTCTGAACTTCATATCCATCTCTTCCAATTAACCCCTAGGTCTTGTCACGCTGGTGAATTATAAACAAGTTTTTCAGACTGAGCTGGCAAATTCTGTCGAAAATGGTCGATACAGTATTTTTACTTGTATAGTGTATTCAGTTCATGAGATCTTGATCTTCTAATCTTGTACTGCGAATTGTCCGTTGAGGACAACCAACATTAGTATGTGCCTAGTTTGGCCTTTCTCTTTTTGCCTCCGTAATCAGTGTCTCAGGTCGGGACGTGGCGCGAAAACAGACCCGATATATTTATGTTTGTTTTATATGATATTTTGGTATTCGCAGATGTTATTAAAAACGGGCAGGGTAGTTAAAATACCCTTAAAAACCTTAGTTTTTACAATATAAAAGTGACAAAGGTGGATTAAAGCATGACCGCGTCAGCTGCGCATTCACTGGCTAATTTCCTATTCAATCAGCGCCTAGCCCATACTTGGAGAGCAGGCTAGAAAATTCTCGTGTTGTTAGCTGCATGCTGATTGGCTAAATCTAATCCGGTCAGTGCTAGTCAATCACCAGTCAATCATTCCATAAGCTTCTCATGTAAAAACTATCAAGATACTTATGTTGTATCTATTTCGCCTTCGGTTTCTTACTTCTGTGGTGGAACGCTTTTACGAAGAAAATACGATTTGTGAAATATAAACATTATTGTACTCATTTTGTTTAACTATACCAAAAACACTTCTACTATTTCTTGCACGCAACTTCCTCTTCGCGTTGCTGACATTTATCTCTACTTGCTGTTCCCGATGTAATGCCTAATTTCTTTTTCAATAAAATACTCAACCATGGATTTATTTTGATATACGTGACAGGACAGTATGTAACATTTAGTGGTGAACGTAGACAATCTGGTATCTACCTGCTCACCACTAAACTTCCACTTAAACTTGATATTCGGAATATAATCTTTTCCTGTTCCACCGTGTTCTGATTTGGGGAATTTTCGAGTGTATTATTGTCAGGGCATACTAAGCAATAGGAATTAGTTGGAGAATATTAAGGGATATTTATAACAAAAAGCTTAGGACTTACTATACTTAATGGTAGAATGACAGAACTATCCGATTGATGAACACCAACTGAAATATAGTTTCCGTGGAGAAACTTACTTTAAAATTAAACGATAGATTACAGTTGAACAGGATCACCGATAACGAAAAGTTTTAGAAATATGTTCTTTAAAATTACTTTGTTCTTCTATCGGATTCTCAGAGTAATGACAAAATTAACTTATAATATGAGATAGTGAATAAAAACGATTGCCTTATTTCGGTCATGAGCGTAATTTATATGCAAGTGTGGTGGTTATTACATACGACTTGTATCACCAGTAGTATGCTATACAGTTTCCCAGAAGTTACTGTTGAAGGGAAGAATATCGGATCGAGATGTAGGGTGGGATCAGTATTTTGGAGACTAGAAAATATGTGAAACAAGGCAGTTAATCATCTGCGTCTTTCGCAAATAGAAGTCCGACAATGTGTGCATATTATGTAAGCAAACTAAGCCTCCTTAAAATAAATCTTCTATAACATCTGATAGTCACGTCTTCCTTCATTACATAGATAACTGATACCAAGCATGTCATTACTACAACTTACATTAAAACAGATGACAAGTCGACCGACTTTCTTTGCTCTTAGTTGCAAGTATTCTTTTAAACGCCCAACACTGAAATTAAATATTTGAGCACTAAGATACTGAATGGCTCAACCAATGCTTCTGGATATGCTCAAAAGATGATCAGGTCTAAGACCAACCTAGTCCGTAATAACTTTCTAATCAAGAATTTCAAAACCCAGTTGAACTGGAAGTCACCAGTGGTTAGTTGGTGTTGAGAAAAGAGCTTATAAAATAATAATTTACCCTTGCAGTCCGCTCCAACCCGTAAGGTGTAGGTTTATACGCGTCCCGCCCAGTCCAAGTCCAAAAACGATAATTCTGGGAGAGAACGGTTCTATATAAATCAAAAGGGGAAATTCAGAAAATTACCAAAACAATATTACACCTTCGAGTTCCCAATTATCATAATAGGTTCCGTTGCTGGAAGAATAAGTGCTTCCAGTCAGTTACTGCTAGAGTATCAAATCCAAATATGGCTCTAGCCATATTAAATATCAATTTTAAACAACACATATATAGTTCAAAAGGAAACATGGGAACAAGATATAGAAATACTAACAAGATACAAATGATAAAACCTCAAAATGGGATCAAATAAAACACCAAATTATAAACAGAAAGAGTCAGTCATATCATAACACAAATATATATACATGGAGGGGTTTTCCAAAAACAAAACCTTCAAAATAGATTCTACAAGCTATCTTAACCAACTACCTGTTACAGGGAAATGCGTAGTACCTCACTGAGAATCACTCCTCACAAACCAATGATGAAGGTTTGTCGAAGGAATATTCGGACATTTAAGCTTTCTACTGAAATTTTCCAGCAGATTACTCGATATTTTTGGAATGATTAGAATGCTTGTCCCTAGTATACATCACTTCGATTTCAGTCCAGCACCTGTGGGTTGACCTTCACATCGTCGGCCATATCTAAGTCAGCGAAATACTCTGACTTTACTCCATCAAAAATATAAAATGCTTCACTTCTTCAATGCCCATTGTGCGCGATAGACCTCAACTTCAATCTGAAATATTTAAACCTCTAATCCTACTCTTTCGAAAAAATTTTGGGGTTCATAACTATTCCCGTGATTTAATCTCTCGCTTTATAAAGCCCTGGAAATATGAGGAACTCATCAGACTCAGTAATAATGTAACAACTTCATAATACCATTAATTTCGAAAAAAACTACGCATCTGTTAATACTATTTTCTGTTTGGCTATCAACTTAAAATCTTGTTCTTATTAGCATTAGACTTTTCCCCTTATTATTCTCTAGAGCGAAACTAGATTATCTCCGGGACTGTGATAGCTGCTGGTATCTAGAATCTCCACAGTCCTGAAACGAACGTATTCATTCAAATCACGGGATATACAAACAAACAGCTGCAAACTAACTAGGATCGGGAAGTTGAGTGGCTACATCCCCATCCACTGGACATCGCCAAGCAGCTGGAACCGTACCGAGGAAAACAAGAATCAAGAACAAAGAAACCATTTGGTTATTACAAGCTCCAAACCAAAACATTGGCGCAAATCCACGAAGCCACTGACAACTGGATTAACATTTATTCACAAGGCCGCTGACTGAGTTGTTAAGGAAAGTGGAGTCTTACCTGTGGTGGTAAACTTCGAAACGATTCCGTGTTTCATTATCCATAGATTAACTGACAATTATTATAAGTCTGTTAGTATCTCAAATAGTTTATGTCACCGCATCAGATATTTCTCCCCATCTTACATCTAAAATAAACGTGTTAATACTTGCGAAAATAGCTATTCTAATCCGATAGTCCTTATGAGATGTAGCGAGAATGTATTCACAGGCACCCAGAAAATACAGGGTCGCTAAGCACACAGCTCAAGCTTATTTATAAAATGATAAAACGCCTTTGGCGAGAACAACAAAATAGCGTACCAAAATAATCCACCAACTAATGACAGTCAGGGATTTCCCAAGTGGGAAATACAGCTGAAGGTCAAGGTCGGCTTCTTTGGCGCGAAAGCATAAACTTCCAAGTTACAAAATTAGGACCTTTTTCAAGTGAGTCCTGGGTATATAACGTCCTTAACAATTTTTTGAGTTGTATCCCATAATAAGACAAAGCGATCTTCTAATTAAGCTGCAAAAGTGTTTTCTCACGTAACATCCACGCAATATCTTAAGGGCCGTTTCTAGAATTGCATTTGTAAATGTACTGAGGAGAAATGGTAAGGATAGACGATCCTGCTTATTTTGACTGTTTTATTTGAGCAATGAAGATTGACTGTTAGCCATGATCCTTTCTTTGGTATTTGCGCTCATTCTTTGAAATGTTAACAAGCTTTTCACTCTTATGGTACTATTTTGTAGTTCAAAGGTTCTAAGTACATGTACGATTTATCAGTTGACTAGGTGATTTAGATGGCCTAAGTGTCATCGCAAATAATACAATTTTATCCCCATACTTAGTAGTGGAAAGGCCTTATGATAAATTTGTAATCGACACGCCTAAGACTTGCTCCCTACGAATCAGTCTTTAACAGGTGTTAAACTTTTGGAGTATAATGGGAGTCTGTATTTTTGAAGAAATAAAGAGTAAACTTATACTCCGACTAATGTTCCATAGATTTTGTAGGCTTTTAGCAGAAAGTAAGCTTGTAACTTGAATTTTTTATTATCCTCGTAATATAAGCCGAACTGTTGCAAGTGGTCATAGTACCACCATAGACAACTACTCATTCCTAATCACTAAGGTGACTCCAACCTCACTCCAACTTATCATAAGTGAGTATGTTGACATTGATAACAAGATCATTTCATTTCTTTATGTTGAATTAACGTGAACAATTTTGTTTTTATCTCTTCGATATGCCATGGTATGGCTTCCATTATCTTGCAGATCAGAATTTTGGACCTTGGGCTAGGAGAGTGGCCCATAAGAAAGTCAGCAGCTTTGGTTTAAGCATCTAGACAGTATCCCAGCCCACTGAAACTTAACGATACGATATTTTGGTACCTTTGTACCAATGTTTATGGTTAAATAAATAATTACTGAAATGTTTTTATCAGTGTAAAACGTGATACTATATCAAAATCAACTTGCTTATATTTGGTGTTGTCAGTGCATATAGTATAGACAACAAGTAGTATTCCGTATTCATTCCATCCATTTGTTTTGTTAATGTGTCTGTCGTCCTGTTTAACTAAAAACCGTATTATTATTACTTTGTCATAGAGTTTCATAATATGGTTCAAAAACCCAGTGGTTTAAAGCCGTTGATACATACATTGGTAAGCAGTCTTTAACTATACGTCAACATCTTTAGTTCAAGTTACGATTGAATGATGTGAAATTGTTTCTAATTGGATTAGGATTCGCATTTTTATTGAATTGGATCATTACTTTATCAGGAACACCGAAATTCAAATGTTTATCAGACGGCAGCTTGGTTCGTAGCACGAAGCAATATTCCATGTTTTCTTTAAGTATGTTTCCCAAATTTTTCCTGTAACTTATCTGCTAGCTGATGTTAGTTATGCCCAAAATCTTGCCAATAAGATTAATATATACTGTTATATCCTAACGGAACCGCAAGCACATCTGACCAAAGCTTATCATGTTCAAACAACTTGGGCTCGGAGGTGTACTCGTTTCAGTTTTATTAGTTCAAAAGCGGAAAAATTAATGAAAATGCTTGGTAAGTCTCATCTTTATTTTTTTTATTTGAACATAAACATTGGTACATAGAGGTGCCAAAATATACAAACGCCACACATCACTAAATATATGTGGGCTAGGATACTGTCCGAATGCCCAAACTGAAGCTTGTTTTTCTTAGGGGGCACTCCCATAGCCCTTGGCCCAAAATTCCAATCTACAGGACTGGGACAACGTTAGAAGATACAGTCCCATGGTAGTCGGTGATCAATGACAGGTTCATACGCCACCCATCCCATAAGAGTCATGTAGCCCATGTGCACCGTCGGTTTGGAATCAGGGGTTTTCGACTCCCTTAGGTAGATCCTTCATGCCAACCAGTGCTAATGTGGTATGGCAATCTGAACTGATGTACGTATGTACGAAGTTCTACATTGTAACTGACTAACCTAGTTCAAGCACCAGACATTCGCTTTTCATCGTTTCAATTCCGTAAGCAACATCATCACCACAATAAGGCAATGAGTAGGACTTCCCTAGCAATGTCTATATAGGCGTGGTCATGTAAGAGCATTTCGAGAGGGAGAGCGGACTCTTCCTACCGTTCGCGGTATTAGCATCTGGGTCACAAAAGGGATTTTGTTGTTGTCTGAAAAATTTCGATGGTTCATTTGTAGGAAATGAAGAAGTTGTGTAATATTTTTAGTTATAGAATATTTGTATTCCACATTCTTAAAATCGTGTGTAATAGCATTTCATTTATATTGAAACATAAACCATCACTCAGAGGGTTACATTTGATCTTTGTGCATAATTGATTTATAACTATTTCGAAATCACAAGACGACCGAAGGAGTTGGTTTTCTTATAAAACCACTCCCCAAGCCTTTGATCTAAAGATCCACTTCTAAAGGCAGTACAAAACGTCAGGAGTTAGTCCCATGATAATCAATTATTAGAATAGTTCCATCCATTTTTAGTGATACAAAGGCATTCAGTGGGATTACTTTTTAAGACGAATATGTAGATCAAGCGCTTATAACTGATTTGTGCCTTAGTTTGTTGGTCGTAGTACACATTATTCAACATAACTATCTCATACTACTATCAAATTGTTTTGTTTTCAAGAAAGGTATTCAGTTCCCTATCTAATTACTTATAGCTGTTGATAGAACACAAAATTATGCTAAAAATTCATGGATTTCAATGCGTGAAACACTGCGTGCGGTACATAAACAAACATACAAAGCAGCATATTTTCTTAAAGCCGATGATTCAACTTATGTGATTATGGAGAACCTAAGAAATGCTTTAGAATACACAAATCCCCGTAAACCATTTATTATGGGTCATATCTATAAGGTTAGTCATTTAAAACTTTTATGAATTAGTTTTGAATATTAAGTGATTTTTTATTAATCCTAATATCGGTGTAAATTGTGTTCTTGCAAGTATTAAACGGTTGTCACTCGAAATGCCTTCTAGGGCGGGTAGCTATGAATCTCCTAAGCAAAAGTACCTTGATATCTACTCGAGAGTCTGAAAGGGTAAACGGTTCCTGATAAGTACTTATGACTGCAATACAGCAGTCTCTCTGGGTCCTTACCAAATGAGCATTCTGTAAGGTGTCCAAACTAATGCTGTTGAATCGGTCACTGATATCAATGAGGTTTATTATAGGCCTGCAGTTTTGTCACAACTTCCTTCCTGGTTAAGTTTTAGTTATTCTTGCATTAAGAAGCCACAACATAGTTTGTTTCATATGTATAATTAGACTATGTAAATTTCTGAGCCACCTACAACGAAAAGTCTAACTAAGTTATATCTTATAATCAGACACAAATGAACGATACCAACTCCCCGGAAAAGGATGTCAATAACTTACAATCCGATCTGGCTCGTGGACTGAATGCTGCATTAGAAAAAGCTAATCTCTCTACTATAATAAATATTACAGTGGTGATTTTAGAAGATGTAGCAACCTATTCTCAACGAGTTAATGGAAAGCATATCATCATACAGCGATGATCTGGGCCACCTAAATATGTTGTTGACGTATTGATAAGAAGGCTTTTTGGCTAGGAAGTTTGATAATGGACAACCTATAAATAAATACGGTTAAGGAATTTCATGTGTGCCCGAACAGATCTAATATGGTGATTGAGCTGGGTTGACACTTTCAGTACTAATATCTATAACTAACTGGATGCGGCAGTCGTTTTATGTGTTATATATGTGTATCAACCTGATACATTACAGTTTTCCTCCTAGCAACAAATACAGTTACACGAAAGCGTATTTTCCACAGAATCTTTTCGAAGGGTAAATATATCTGATACAAATCCCAACCTTCGTACTCTAGTTTGATCTTATGTGTAGTACCATTAGCCCTTCATGGAAGTGATATAGCTTAAATTCAAATAAACAATTAGTTGCCATAGTTCAGCTAAAAAGAAATCTAAAACTAGCCATTTTACTCTTCTCTAGAAATTCCAAATGCCATGAGCAATACATCTATAATCCATGGAAAATTTAGTCAATATTTCTCATGATAAATGTTAATAACTGATAGTCATTACCTTTTGCTAATGTATTTTCAGTTTTCTCAACTTTAACTGCACGCCGTTACTTGTATATATTGAAAATCTTAACAATTTACCTATCATATATAGAGCGTCTTATAATGAACAACTATTTAAGCTTCATCAGTCTCTTGTTTCATTCTTTGTATTATGATACTTATTGAATACAACTGTTACTTATCATCTAATTATAATGATCATTGCAACACTTGAAAATATCACTTGTATAATTTTCTGACTTTATATTTAGACGATCGTGACAATCTCTTTATTGTCAAATGTTTAAACAATACTTTATTTCATATGTAACGGTTAGTTCAAGTGTTTAAATGAACCAAGTCCATCAACGTCAAGTATTATGCATACTATTTGTTTGTGCTTATTCACAAATCTTTCATTGCCCCTTATAACTACTGAGTTGAGAGTTCGAACCCGCTTCATTTATTTCAGTTCGGGAGGTTGGGTAGTATCGTTAGGTTACATGTCGAATATATAGGTTACACAAACTGGGACTTCATAAACGAATTAGGCATAATTTAATTTTGTAGACTCAGTTGGTCAGTCATATACGACGTAGAACCTGATACTTGCAAGTCAATTCAATTTGTTACATTGCATAGAAAATAAGAGATAAAATTATCAAAACAAATCCCAGAGTATAAGTAGTTGTAGAAAATATTAGGGGTAAAAAGAAAAACGAGAGTACAAAGAAATTTTTAGGACTCTAGAACTAAAGGAGGATAACAAGTGAATCCACATGAGCCATTGTGCACGATTTTAAGCTATACTCTCCCATTAATTAATGTCTTCATATTTTAACTAGAAGTGAATCGCTTGATATCATGCTGCATTATCGTTTCAGTTTAATTTTTTAACCTTCTACTACCAACCTAGATTGTTTTGCATTACACAGATAGTACAACTTATATCAGAACATAGACTAGTTCGACTATATGGCTTATCTTTTGTTATATAATAATTTACAGTTTTAATTTTTTTTTTCATTGCTAATACTATGCTTTCACTAATCCACTTTAACATAATGTTGTGTTAAACACTAATTAATTAACTAAATTGAATCTTGCTTATGGAATCCAAGTTATAGGACACTTTAACATATATGTGTATGTTTTCAACAAAAATAGTTTAAGTTTAATAAAGCTTTTGTATTAATCTACTAAATAAATCCCTACCGTTAGGAAACGGGTACTAGGTAGAGATGGCAGATCAATTGATGAAGTATTGAAACTTCATCAGTTGAGGTGGTTGGGGCATGTGTCACGAATGCCCGACCACCGACTGCCTCGACGAGCTATGTTTTGCAGTGTAGGAGTAGGTTGGAATAAACATAGGGACGGCCAAACCAAAACATGGCACAAATCCATAAAGTCACTGACCAATGGACTGAGTCATGTTGGCAGATGTAGGCTACTTGGTTGGGGTCTGCGAGACGAAAGTTACCAATGGTTAGAGACCTTAAACGACATGTCTCAAAATCGTTTGCAATGGCTCAGGTGCATCCACTCATTGTGTTCTCTCAAATTCTAACCTCCTGAATTCCTCATGATCTCTATCTTTCTAAAGTTATCTCACTGAATTATACTTCTCGAATCATATCTTCGCTCCCTAATCTTCTCTATTACTGCTAATACTTCTACTATCTCTACCACTAAGGGATTTGAACTGACAGTCGCGTCTCTGTGTTAATGAGGTATAGCAACCTGAACTGAGGTACGTACGTACGAAGTTCTATGTTGTAACTGACTGACTGACTGACTTAACAAATCCGAAATAATTTGCGTCTCTGAAATAACATATTTACTCGTATTATCTAACTGAAATCGGATGTTGATTAGTCTTGTAATATGTATTTATCCAAGTAGTAGCTGATGGATGATTTAACTCATTCACATCATCATTACCATTATTTCTGAGTTTCGAATTGTGTTTAGTTTGAGTATTTTTTTATGGTTTTTCTGTTTGTTTTTTTTTTGGCTACGAAGATTCTATCTAGTTGACTATTTCACTTCATAATAAACTAACGCTTATTTAAGTGTCATAGTTTGATGATAAATTTACTTAAAAATTTTAACTAGTCTTTTAATTTGACGCTAGTTTTCTATCGTATTGTATGAAAGTAACCTGTCTTTCCTAACTTCAGTGTTATTTTTCTCTTTAATATTTAATTTTACAACAATCACATTAATAATTCAATTTGTAATAGTTTGGACTACTAATCCCATTATTATTTCAAACTAACTTTTAATCAACCTTGGCCGTTATATGTGCATCCTGTGTAAATCACCTCGATGTGTCAACAATGACATGATCCAAACCATTGTAAATTGAACTAAAGCCCATACCCGTTGCACAAATAAGAGTTCTAATTTGAATTTAATAAATAAGTGAATAATAACACATTGGACTTTTGAAGTTGAAGGTACTGAGTTCGAACCTCGCGATGGAAATCAACTTAAGAATTCAAGTATATCCATCTGTTAGATCCTAAATAAAACGAAATGCACAGCTTGAATTTTACTGCTAGCCACATTTCATTTATTCAATATTAATAATAATTATTATTATGCTGTTTTTTTTTCTAAAATTCGTTTTTCTTATACTTTATCTATCTACTTATTGAAGATTTCTTCAAATGAATACACTTTGTCTGGTAGTTTTGGTTATGTTCTATCAAGAGCTGCTCTTGAACTAATTGTTCTGAAAGGTTTAGACACATTGCCTGACTGTGGACCAATTCAACATGTTCGTGAAGATATTCAAATATGTGAGTTATTTTTGATTGAAAATTAGAAAGTATCATATTAAATGTTTCTAATAGTTATTTGGTTGAAATGAAATTATAATCCATAGGGCTGTTTAAGGGGGAAGCAATGACAAGTTCATACTCTTCGATTACATGAAATCTAACTAATTGGATACTGAAAAGCATACTTAACTATACAGCCCTTTCACATAATTCTAGGCACAAAGTCTGTATATTTTTAGTTACAGTTTTAAGCAATTTAAGGATACTACTTTGAAAGTTTCACATTGATCAGTTGATTACAGGTGCCCATTGCCAACTAGCATAAACTCTAAGTCCAGAATTTCCTGGTGACTACCTCCAACTACCTAGCATCTCAGTATGGTGGATTCTATGTTCAGTCAGTCAGATGCAACGTAGAACTTCGTACGTAAGTACATCAGTTCATGTTGCCATACCACATCAGCACAGAGAAGTAATTGTCAATTCAAATCTAATAGTAGTAGAGGTAAGAAGGGAATTAGAAGTAATCGGAGAGGTTAGGGTTAGAAGATACTATTCAAGAAGTATGATTCAGTGAGAAAAGTTTAGAGAGTCGGAACTAGAGGGGTTGAAGAATCCAGAAGATTAGGATTTGAGAGAACACAAAGAATAAATACAGCGGCGCCATTGCGAACGATTTTGAGCCATGTCATTCAAGGTCTCCAACCATCGATTATTATCATCTCGCAGACCCCAACCAGGTAGTCGACAATTACCGACATGGCTCAGTCCACTAGTCAATGACTTCATGGATTTCTGCCATGTTTTGGTCTGGCCGCCCCTCACTTTCTTCCAACCTACTCCTACACTACAAAACAAAGTTCGTCGAGGCAGTCGGTGGTTCGGCATACGCAAGACATATCCCAACCACCTCAACTGATGAAGTTTAACCACTTCATCGATTGACCTGCCATCCTTACCTAGTACTCGTTTCCTAACGACAGCATTGCTTACTCGGCTGTCCCACGGTATACGAGCAATGCTTCGAAGACACCTATGATCGAAAATCAGTAACCTACGAATATCTTCTACTCTCACTGGCCATGTTTCACAGCCATATAGGAGAACGGAGTGAACTGCTGCACAGTACACTCGTCCTTTGATTAGAGAACGGATATCACGCCTACGCCATAAGTGACGCAGGTTGGCAAAAGCTAATCGAGCCTTCTGTATCCGTGCTGAGATTTCGTCAGTCACCAGGCCATCGGCACTGATGAGACTCCCAAGATAAGTGAAGCGGTCTACACGCTCGACTACTTCACTCCCTATCACTAGTTCAGGTGCCGATGCAACCCAGTCTTGAAGCAACATTTTGCATTTCGAGGGGGAAAACCGCATTCCGAACATGCTTGCATTGTTGCTTAGGGTAGTCAGAAGACTCTGCATTTTGTCAGCATCTTCACCAAGTAGGACAATGTTAAGTCACTTAGACTACTTACCACATTGCATATTGGTCAATAGAATTCGGCTAGCAGTAAACAACTTGAACACATCCTTTCTACATTTTCTTAAATTAAGTTTATCTGGTTTCATTATTTTCTTCGTATACATTTGAGAAATCTAATTACATTTTAATTATTCTGTACATTTTTCATATCATCTCATGCATTCATGCATTACGTAATCACTAGCCAAACATTCAATCTGATAATTAATGAATATATTGTTATTACTCTGACTTTTGACTCCATGATTTTTTTCGAATAAGATTAAAACAACTGGTGTAAATAATAAATTTACACCAGCCCTCACATTGACAACCAATTTTTCACTCATTCCTCATTTTGCACACTTTAAACCCATCATTCATTCACACTAATGATCTCATATAAATGGCACATTCACCCTAAAATATAAAATACTATTGTTCTCTGGTATTTTTACGGTACTATTTAAAGATAGATAGAAATATAAAATATACAAGATACCTAACCAACACTGAATTTAAACTATACAACCAGCAAAATGTTCCAAAGAAAGTATACAATCAAATCTAAACTGGGCCATATAAGTTGTTAAAGGTCAAAGTGAAAAGGTGTCCTTAAAAACCGATAAACTATCTTTTGTCTATACACAAATAAATCAACTGAAATACAACACAGTCAAACACGTTAAAGCAATAGGGAAACAGTCAAGATCTTGAGGTCGAGTGGAACATAATCTAACATCGAGGAAAAGATCATATTATAGTCGAAGTACAATTGAAAAACCAAATTTATAAACAAAAGTAAAAATAATCTAATTTAAACCAACTATGACACTTATGAATGAAGATTAAGTTAATCTGTTCATTGAAACGGAGGATTATTGTTACATCGGCTTCTAAAACCCCCTCATATAACTCAAACGAACATCAAATATATTCAGCCATGGCCTATTTTCACAATCCAGTTGGGCATTCTCAATATGCAGGACCTATAACTGTCCCGATCCTGGCTACAACCTTAACGTAGTTGTCAGGCTTGCCTGTTCTGATGACCCAATCCAGATATATTAGCTGAAACTTGTTCTTTTAGGTCCTATTATTGCAGGTATGTCGGTTGAAGAACGGTATGACAGAGCAGCAATCTAATGTCGACGTTCTATTGCTAAATGTACTGGTGTTGGATAGCAGTGAGATGTTTCCCTCAGATAATCGGTAAACACAACAATGTTGCCTCTTCACGACATAAGAAAAAGGGTTCCGAATTATTGACCCTGAAAATGTCACACTTTATCATATCTCTACGGATTCCCGTCTCTGGATTTTAAGACCTTGGGATTACGAGGCTAACAAATCTAAATCCGCTCGCAATAATGCCGTTTTTAACTGGTCCCAAGCATTTATCACTTGGCCTGTGCACCCATGCTTCCAAGTCGCTAAGACCACTACTAATCCAGTTTCTTTTTCAGATCCGTCAAAAGAAATATTCTTCAGCGATTGGGGTAACTGAAACGACCGTCGACCTCATGTATTCAACAGCATTGAAGATCATATTGTTCACATTAACTGTTCGCAAAAACAGGTCGCTTAAGGCTAGTCAGCACTTTGAAGATGACAATTCTTACAAACATCTCCTTTAGCACTCAAGTATTCAATAAGTTTTCTGACTAAAGTCACTGCTCTGAATGATCTCATTCAATCTGAGTAATGAAACCAAAAACGGAGAATGCTCATGCTTTGGCTATAGCAGATAATTGCTTAAATTCGTTATCTTTGGGTACATCGTCCAAATTTTCAGCAGGAATAATCGAATTTTGGTCTCTTTAGAAGACTGCGCCTTCAAACCAGTCTTTGAGATCGATGTTTCTCTGTACGCCTGGTGAAATCTAATCTGAATTTGTTCGACCTTTATACAATACCATTGATCGATTCATGGGTACTGATAAATCACGGCTAGTTAATTTACTACAAACGAGCTCTGTTTTCATGCTGTAACGCATAAATCCAACACACCGCATAGATATGCTTAAAATGCTAAGAGACTGATCCCGACTGCGCCTTGCACATTCTTTGTAAAACCTGTTTGGCTAGAAGACAGGTTGGATCTACAAGATTTGATGTGTTAAACCGAGACAAAACAGCTGACAACATTCCTTACCTGGTTAATGGCTTTTCGAATGGATCAAAGCGAGACTTGGGAATAGCCTGCTTATTGTCCCATTTCAAGTGTGAAATTCGGTGAATAACAGTATAACACACAATATCAATAGTAAATCTCTTCCTACTTAAGGTGTGTAGCCTTCACTTTTTCCAAACAAAACGTCCGCTTCCTCAGTCTGAAGCCTCCTCTTAACATCAATTTGTTAATTTGTACAACAAATCCCTTTTGTTGTTCAGGAGTCAAGAAAATTGTCAAACAGTCATCCATGAAAAACTACTTTTCACCACTCCCAGGGCAAAGTTATCAAAGTCATCAGGGAATTGTTGAGTCGTCCTACTGATGGCAACGTTTGTGCTAAACGTAGATAATGCTGCCCAAAATAGGGGAGATCATGTGAAATCAAACAATCTCTATTGACAGGTCACCATCTTCCCACGAGAGAGACCACACTACCCCTCTATAGGATTCAGGTACCTTAATCTGCATGGATATTTCTTCAACACAGTCGGAAGTGGCTACCGGCTCCTTACGGAAACATAAAAATATGCTTACTAAGTTGGCAGACGTATCAAATAAGTCAAAATCGTCCACTTATTCGCATACTCATAATGTAGTTTTTTGTGTATATCGACTGTACTCAAGTTTTTAGACCCTTTTGGGCATATTTGACCACTACAGCTTGAGTTTTCAATGCTTTCAACACATCAGAATAAGTTAGTTATGGTCACGCTGAACAAAATTATAGTTAAACTTTGGGATGGCTCTTCTTAAACACAAGAAATTCCTTTTGATGTATATTCATACCACAGCTCTAAGATTAATAGTACTAGTCGTTGTAGTAGTGTTGTTTATTCTGATTCAATTGTTTTTGATCTAAAAGAGCGTCGACAAGAGCCAGAATTAGTAGAACAAAGAAATTCTCATCGTAAGAATTTGGCTCATGGTTCGAATGGGCTTAAAGGTGAGAAACCAGTCTGAGAGCAAGGGAAAGACGGTCGAATTAAAAATAGTTTCAATTTGAGAATTCAGCCCAAAACATGGCCTAGTAAAAGCAACCACAAAAAGATGTTTTTAATTCAACATTGTTCTCAATAGTAGTTGCACATAAATTATCAAAAGTTGAACTAGATTATTTTAATAGACAACCGACGTCTTATTTGAAATGTATGCGTCAGTTTAATACATATATCGCCTCGAAAGTGATTACTAATGGGCAACGTCTCTCATGTCTTATGCATTATTGTAAAAGCGAATTCAGAACACAGATTGATGTAATGTGTGATGTTAACTCCGTTGCCAGTTATCATGAAAAATATTCAAGAAGTTTTTTGGTCATGATCGTATTGATACATATGAAATGCTTAATAGTTTGGTTGATGGGATGGATTTAAATTACAGTGATGCAAATGCATTGTCGAGTTTGGCCATAAAGATCGAGAAGTACGCTATTATTTTTAAACCAGATGAATTATAATATGGACTTATAGAGGTCATTGTCAAATTCTCGCCTCAATCGATGTTAGTTAGGTAAGCAGAATGATCGAGAACCGACATTTGCAGAACTCACTAGGTTTATCTCGTCTCAAGCTATTAGTAGCTCTTAGTCGACCTGGCCAAGTAGCCGCCTGTAGTAAATAGGGGCCTGATTGCAAAGTAAACTGTCTTATACGAGCACTTCGAACCTCAAATGTTTTCTGTTACCCTGAGCCGTCATGCATACTATGCTCAAATGATCACAAACAATAATGAAATGTCTTCCTTCATTTGTCTTAAGTAAAATCACAGATTCAGTGAATTTTAAGTCAATAAACCGTTGCAGTTATTTATAGAGTCTAGCACTATTCGTTGTTCCTCCACAATGGCATTGCCATCATAACGAGATAGAGAGAAACCAAAGCAGTCATTGCAGTATCAACCAATCAGCGTTAGTTGTGCAAATATTCGACACCCGCAACGATAAAAATATCACTTCAATTTCAATTAGGTTCCACTTTTATAGGAACAAATCAATTATCAACACTGAACTTGTGCAATTAATTATTAATTGTCTATATAATAGTAACAGTACAATATGAATTCTATCGATGAAAAGATAATCTCATATATTTAGTTCTTATCTAATCTGTTTAATTTTTATGCTGTTTTACGTGTATGGCTGTTTTACAATAAAAAAAAATTGTCCTCTTAATTTTTCAGCTAAATGTGCCAAAGCATTAGGCATAGAATTGAAGGATAGTATTGATATGTTTGGTATGTCACGGTTCAGTAACGTCAGTATCAACAATCTTTTTGGTACATTTAATAATAACAATAATACTAGTGCAACAGTTCGATGGAATCCAAGAGAAACAGATTATACACAAGCAGTGTATAATTTGAAGAAAGTAAGTGTTAATAGTGTACATTAAATAGTTTTTTCTTCCTATCTATAAGTTAGATATCAATATTGGGTTCATGAAATTGTAGAATTTTACTATGATTACAAGCCAGTCTAAGTTAGACAACTAACCATGTCAAGTGTGACGAAGAAGGTATCCATCGAAGACAATGAAAGATGATCGCTTAATGTCATGCATGGATTAGTTAGACTTGGACGTTCGAAAAATTGTGCCCCAGCTCAATGGTTTAGTAGTTTTGCGTTCACACATGAGATCGACGATCTTTGGGTTCTGTCACCAGCAGTGGAGTCATGGAAGCACTTTGCTGAGGATGGTTGTCTAACTTCGATCGACTGGTTCTCGCTACTATGATTACAGTATATGTCTAGAAAAAAACTAAATTTTTAATCATACATCATGTCGCTTGTAAGTCTGACAAATACACTTAAAAGAAAATTGCAAAACTGCATCTACGATGTTTTATTTAATATAATAACCATTAGTTTTCTTACAGTTGATGTCATTTATTAGAATTGGAGCATAACGACTTGGTCGTGTAAAGTTGTAGCACCTCACCACTCATTCATTGTACTTCAATGATTAGTCGTTTAAATTATTCGATAACAGTATCGATTATTGTACGTTTGATTGTGTGTGTTCATGCTTACTTGCTTATTACATGTCTAGCTTATTACTGCCTGACTATAAATACTTAACCATTCTTCCGCATTGGGAGAGTGGACTCACTCACCTCCAATACGCCTCATCTCGCTTATACACTTTCCGTTCTCATGTCTGTCTACATAGATAAATGCATAAAATAAATTAATCTGCAACACTGTATTTGGCTTCTTACTACCACAGTTGCACGAATGGGGTTTGCCTAACTATGATGTACGGAAATGGATAAGAAGATTTGTTTTATTGCACGCTGGAGTCCAGTTTTGAGCCGCTAAAATGTCATTGAAGCTTCAACTCATACTATCCTCTTTATTTATTTGGAATCTACTACCTGGTAATGATATCACCAGCACCCACACTAAAAGCGTAGCTCAAACTTGTGTACATAAATCTGTACTTGATAATTGAGTAATTGCCAGTTTATTCAAATTAGATAAGATAATTGATTTACACAGTAGTAGAAGCAAGTCTTCATACTATCGAGAGTTATTTATGTGTGTTAAGCAGTAACTAAACATCTCTATATAAGTATATCTTATTTTAATTGAATCTCTGTATTCTATTGTCAGTCAGTCAGTCAGTTACAACGTAGAACTTCGTACATTAGTACATAAGTTCACGTTGCCATACCGCATCAGTACAGAGACGCAACTGTCAGTTAAAATCCAATAGTGGTAGAGATAGTAGAAGTATTAGCAGTAATGGAGAAGATTGGGTTTCCAAGACATGATTCAAGAAGTATAATTCAGTGAAATAACTTTCTGAAAGAGAAAGATGGAGATGATGAGGAATTCAGAAGGTTAGAATTTGAGAGAACATAAAGAGTGGATGCACCTGCGCTGTTGCAAACGATTTTGAGCCATGTCGTTTAAAATCTCTAACCATCGGTGACTTTCGTCTTGCGGACCCCAACCAGGTAACCTACATCTACCAACATGACTCAGTCCATTGGTCAGTGACTTCATACATTTGTGTCATGTTTTCGTTTGGCCTTCCCTAGCTTTCTTCCAAACTACTCCTACACCACAAAACATAGCTCATCGAGGCAGTCGGTGGTCGAGAATACGTGACACATGTTCCCAACCACCTCAACTGATGTAGTTTCATCACTTCATCAATTGATCTGCCATCTCTACTTAGTACTCGTTTTTCTCTTAATACTCACTCGTTTATTATCAACATGCTGATTTCATTCAAGCTTAAGTCAAGACATCATTTCATCATTAATGTCTTGATTTATCAATTCTCTTTAATAATAATAATCATAATACTTACTGTTTTAATTTACTTTTCTTTTAACTTCTCTTTCATATTCATTAAAATTGAATCAAGTTACCGGCAAGTCCATTGTTAATTAGTTTCGGTGGTTTAATGCCAGTAAAAATGTACACATTAGAATATTTAATTTATCATCTTCGACCAATTGGAATAACGCATAAAATTGTACAACATTTACCTTATTCTCATCATTAACTAGAAAATAAATCGTGTATCCATCAATCAATCAATCAATCATTCAGCAGTGTATCATCATATTTTTATTGATTTATTGATTTATTCATACTATTGTTGTCTCAGTGATTTTTTCTCATCATTTGCATAATATGTAATATATCTGTGATAATAATAATAATAATAATAATAATTTATGTTTTGATCCATTTTGACTATTTGTTCCTTTTTTTATCATCATCATATACGATGAACACAAACGCTTACAACCACATATCACCATTTTCAACAGATCATTTCAATTGTTAATATTTAACATCATTTTGAACTTGATATACTGCTTGATTACTGCTCATCTGCCTTAAATTCTGTTACGTTTTTGTTTTATTCATTGAAACATTGATCAATGATGCAAGATGTGTATTCGTTTACATTTTATTATCTGTTCAACTTATGCCATAAATGATGCTTAAAACTTCGTTTTATTTTTTAAATGGTTAGTGACTAGGTCATTTGGATATAATGCAGACTCATGTGTTGTTGTTTGGCTTCATTGTGTCACTATTTCTAATTTCATCTCCGCTTAAAAAACAAGTTACAACAGAAAGAATATGTCAAAGAAGTACTTCTGATTGAAGCAATTATAAATTATGGCAAACTGTCATCAAGATTACCGATGCTAAGTGTAGTGTTCGTTACGACCACTATCCAAGTGATTGGCAGAAATCCATGAAGTCACTGACAACAGGGATTGAGTCATGTTGGTAGGTGTCGACTACCTGCTTTTGGGGGTCTACCTATCTACTTTTGAACTAACGACAACTTGACTTTTGTTATGAGTGCAAAGTATTTTCGGTACCTGATAACAGATAATATCTATTTGGAATTTTATATACTATATATATATATATTGATCTTTGATTACTGAGCAACTATCTTGAATTCTGTTACATGTTTTTGTCTTATTAATTGAAACATTGATCAATGCACTTTATTATCTGTTCAACTTGTGCCATAAATAATGCTTAAAACTTCGTTTTTTTTCTTAGATTAAACTCACAAATATTATTATTATTATTATTATTATTATTGATTTTTACGTAAATCTTGTAATTATTGCATTTTTCTTTTCTTCCTTTATTCTCGTCTAGTTTTGATTGATTTATTTATTGATAATAAGGAATTTTGTACTAAATTCTTGTATCTATAAAACTTTAATATGACTGTAGAATAAAGAGTTGACAATAAATAAAATTGTAAAACTTTGCAAATCGACTCTCTAGCAATACACTATCTACTTTCCTACTATGTATTTCATGAAGTATTTTAATTTATAATGTGTAAATTGTAAATCTTTAATTGAACCCGCCAACTGTGACAATATACCTATCAACTTTATTGTTAAACAAACAGTTGTTAATTAATCATAGACCTTGTTGTAAATTGTCAGAAAGAAATGAAAATATAACTCAATTATTTAATTATGCTTGTTAGAGAGTGTAGGTTTTGTTTGCTAGTGTTGTAAATTGTGTGCGTACGTTCAGGTTTTGTTGGGGATGTTAGATCGCCAGAACTCGCTTGATAAATATCTATTTTTGATTTACTTCATAGGCCGATGAGTTGACCTTGAGATCACATTTCCCACCAGGAGGATCCTTGGTTGTGATTGGTCACTGTGTCATTTTAGTGTGCTATTTTCGTGACTGTCTCAAGGACGTCTCTATGGCGTATAAATAAACGCAATTTGAGTGCTTGGATTCATTGTGTGCTTGCTAGGTGTTTGTAGAATACACTTTCTACGCTATATCAAGACCTCTTGCTGGTACAGTTGGAACAATCGGATCACAGTAGCCTACCTGGACGCTGGTTCATTGTTTTGATCTCGTTATTCGACTAATGTGAACTCGTAATAGTTTTAAGCAAACGTAGACACGAGCATGACAGGTTTTTGGTTAATTCATGTTAAGTACTGTTCAGTGTACTGTATTCAAATTTCGGCTATTAATCAATCTAACTAGTCAATTTTATGAGACATTTTTTTTCATTTTCAAGAGGATCGAAAAAACAACGTCAAGAATAAGCATTCGATGCGTGCATTAATCTTTATCTATGATCTTAATTCCATTTCGTTACATCGAACTATACAGTACCATTACAATTAACAGTGTTTTCTTCACAACAAGCAATCGTCTCAGGATTTTGTCCAGTTATAATAAAATCCGTTCGAGAACTCCTCGAAAAGGCTGGAAACCTGTTACGTATGCACGTAAATACGTCATTGGATATGCTTGAATTATTACGAGTTTACCTTAGTCGGAAAAAGAGAGCGAGGATCCGGCGACACGACAGGCAACTCTAATCCGAGCGTCCCAACCCCCATTGAGTAAATGAAGTAGAACCTGTATTCTACAAACATCCAGAAAGTACGAGGTCCGAGCCCAGGAGAGAATCAGGATCCCGGACTAGACATCCGGGTCCTGGTCCGGCTCATAAAACGTTACAGATAATGCGTATTTATACATTTTGGTCGAGTAGGAAACAGCATCGAAGTCTGTGACATTGACAGTTGGGACGACTAATGGGAAACAACATTTGAAGTGACACTGATAGTCAGGACGACAAATAGAACTAGACTTACCAACAATTATCTCAGGATATTGGATGAATATCCTAACAGTTACCCACCGAACACAATGGATAAAGGCGAGCGATTTTGTGGGTTGGTTGAAGTTAGACATTAGCAGCGTTGGCTGTCGGCTCAGTGGTCTAGATGTTAAGCGTTCGTGCGCGAAATTGTAGGTTGGATTCCTGCTTTTGGGGTAGTGGACGCGTAATTTTACTTTCAACTGAATATTACTAAACATGATATAACAATAAATAAATCCCCAGAATAAGTAGTTTTGTAAGTCTTCGACATTTTTGACGGACACACTGGAGTTGAAGACGCATGGTCACGAATTCGCACCAGATCTATGTGGGGTAGGCCATGTAACGCATCAACTAGCAAGCTCAGTTCACTCACTTCTCTACATCCAAACCATCAGTCAAATATACCCTCGATGCACCTTATTTCTGATTTGACTTGGCTTTGGATATCCTCGACCGTAAATGTGTTACGGACAAAGCGTTGTCTAACTATGAATATATGTAATACCCTCATTGATATTCATTATTTTTCTTTTCAAAAAAAAAAATAATTTGGATTGTTTAATGATAATGCGATTCAGTGATTATGTGAAATTTTCTGTAGTGAATTTTGTTCCGACTATACTAGGTCTGAGATCTAATGATAATGGTTGGTGATCCTTGGGATTGAATCAAATAAAAAATCAAGTATTTAGTGCTGTCCATCAATTTATTTGATTCAAATAGCCTTTGAAAACATATAGGGGCACTGGAAAGCTTTTCATAATCTTTTGATCACTGTATATCTATGAACCTATTGTGAATTTAACCTAGGACTTTCAGCTCCCTCAGTGATCAGAATATTTTTGGATCGCTGTGTTTTCAACTTAAGTCAATTTGTGTGACCGTCATCCTTCTCAACATTAACATAATCGATCATTGTCTCTCATTAAAAATTTTTTCTTAAAGCTAGTCACTTATGGACATGACAGTTATAATTTAAAGATTTTGTAAACTATTTAAGATTAGTTTTCACAACGGTTTCATCCCACAGTAGGATCCTAAGTGCGTACTTCATGAAGAAATCCAACACCAAAACGAAACAACTACTCAATACCTCTTGGTTTTTAGTGTCTTCTCAATTTTCCTGCTACAATAAACGCCAAATTCAACTTTTATAAAGTTCCACAAATCTTCTACGATATTAGTTATTCGATTTTAGGCAGACCTCATAAGCCACAATATATTTCCATATCAATAATCTAATAAAAATATTTACCACTTAGATTTCTATAATTTGTTTTATTAAACTGGAAATTTACTCTCAAATAAAATTTAGTAATCATTGAAAATTTAATCATAATATTGATTAGTAAAAGATCAGAATGTAAATTTAAAACTTTACTATTGATAAGTTTAGCTCAAATTCTATTTATTTTTTTTTAAAAATTTCTTTTCAAATAAAACAATTAAAGATAACACTCAATTAAACATGGTAATTTTGTCATAACTTTGCAATAATCAGTACAAAGTTTATATTTTTTTGTTGCTCTATTGATTATTTTCATCATACACAATAACATGTATCATAGTTTACAATATCAGTAAATTTGTCAAAAGCTTATTAGTTTATTTCAATACCTATTCGTATAATAATATTGTACGTCAGATAAGTTGAAATCGATCTTGTATGGATTGTAGGTGTAGAGAGTTGATCACCAATGATGAGATTAGAACTATCATGAAACAGCTGTTCAGTTTCTTTAGTTGTTCAATAACACTCCAGCTTACGTCAATTCAAGGTGAGAGCTATTTTTAAATCATAGTTTTATAGTTCCGCTTTTCAAAATAGAGTAAGATCGTCAGTGGAGTTCAAGATCTCAATGAAATTCAACATCCTTCTCACTGGCAGTCATCATATGCTCACTAGTGACTAGCTTAGAGATGGAATTCACAGAGATCTAGTGAGGGGTCGTGTCTAGTTACCCACCGAAGACAAAGAAAGATGGTAGCAAATTTTCGTGGATTGCTTGAAGTTAGACATTAGCACTGTTGAACACCATCTCCGTGGTCTAGGAGTTAAGCGTTTATACGCGAGATCAGAGGTCCTGAGTTTGATTCCAGAGTTTGGGGTTGTGTGTGAGCATTTTTGAGGAGTCTCATATTATGATGAAACGGCCGTCCATTGCTACTAGGTTTTTAATAATCGTCAACTTAGATTGATTCATAATACCTAGATGGTAAAATCAACTGAAAAACCAATGAAAATGAATTGAACGAAGATATTATGTTTGAGATTGTTGAAACGACTCTCAAGAACCGGAAGAGATTCTCCATCAAGTCAAAGCTCAATAGAACTTCTAGAAGGTCGATGTGGCATGCAGTGATTGGACAATTGTGTAACATCGCTGTTTGTGAAGCGGACTTTTCAAATGGTACTTTCACTCTATACAAAAACACAAATACAAATGATTTCCCTGTACATTTTCGGGATGAACATTTTGCTCCGTTTTTTCCGGATTTTGATTTACGACCTGAGGGGCTGTTCTCGTTTTAGTGTCAAAGGTTATACTCAGTTTTAGATGTATCAATTATCACTCAGATCACTCAGAATAATTTATAACCGTTCAAAAAAAATATTTCTACCGATATAAATAAACTTTTCTAATCGCGAATGTCACATCAAAATAAAGAAGAAATATTTTGCATTTCAGTAAGGTGAACAAAGATATTTCTTGTTACCAATATAATAATTTTCATGATTTGAGTGATAAAAAGAGTGTGACAAAAATGATAGATACATTTTAGTAATTAATTTTTGTTACTCATAAGTAGTTAACGAAAAATACTGAATATTTTCCGATTATTCGTTTTACCGATCTGAGTGTTTGACAAGCATATATAATCCGGCTACGACACTTACAGTATAGTGATAACAATCTAGCGATCATACCATATGTAGTAATAGTGTGGTGCGAGCTACTTATAAGTAGTATATGACGTGAGTGTCAGCGTAATGTCTGGCAGCAGAAGATGGGGGAAGATCAAGAAAGGAAGAGTTAGAACACAATGGAATTTGTATGAAACGCATGAATAGTGACAATGGATTGGTGTTTTGCTACAGGAACAGTCCAGTTCGAGATGATGGACTGATATTTTGCAAATTAACGATTTACGATATGGTTTTCCGATTTTACTGAGTAACTCTGTAAGTTTCGTTAAATACGATTCGGTTGCCCCACCTGTGTTCTCATTCACTACAATAGTAATCATAAAACTAATGAGGTAGAAGAAATACACTTAATATAGGTCTGTTGTTGAGATTACTAAATTTCATATTCACCATTACGGTGAGGTCCAGATATGTTTAGTGTGAGGTAGTTATTA